TTCTTTACCTCTTTGGACCATGGTTGGTTTGAAATTCACATTTTCTGCACACAGAATAACTACCTCTGCTTTTTTTTGGGTTCCTGTTGCATGGAGGATTGTTTTCCACCCGTTGACTTTTAGCCTATGAATTTCCTTTTGAGTTAAATGTGTTTTTTGTACACAGCATATTGTTGGATTTTGTTTCTTAATCCCCTCCGCCACTTTGTTTGTTTTTATTTGTGAGTTGAGACCATTTACATCGATGGATATAACTGATATGTACTGACTTATCACTGTCATGTTATCCTTCTGTTGTTGGTTTTATACTTTTTCTGTTTGTTTGTCCTGCTTAGTAGTTTCCTTCTGCTACTGTTGGGATTGTAGTTATCTTTGTCTCTTTTCAGAGTGTCTTTCAGTGCTCTTTGTAGTGTTGGTTTGGTGGTCATGAATTTCTTCAGTTCTTTGTCGTGGAAACATCATATTTCACTATCAATTTGCAAACATAGTTTTGCAGGTTACATCAATCTGGGTTGAAGCTGTTTTCTTTCAGGACCTGAAATACTTTACTGCACACTCTTCTTGAATTGAAGATTTGTGTTGAGAAGTCTGCTGTGGTTCTGATAGGCTTTCCTTCAGAGGTGATCTGTTTCTTTTCTCTTGACAGATTTTAGTATCCTGTTCTTGTGTTGAATTTCTGACATTCTAATTATTATATGTCTGGGTGGAGATTTATTTTGGTCATGGTTAATTGAGATTCTGTATGCTCTTCTGTAAATAGTCTTCTTATGTCATTTGTGTTGATCTCTCTTATACTACATTATATTACATTATCTTGCTACTGTTGAATTGTTGTTTCCTGGTTCCTTGTTATTTTTAAGAGATTGTTTCTTTCATGATCATAAGTTTCCATCCTGCCTTCAAGGTCTGAGAGTCTGTGTTCAGCTTCATTGAACCGGTTTTTCCAGCTTTCAATGGAATTTTTATTTTCCTGAATATCCCTTTGAATATGTTTCATGCATTCTAATTGTGTCTTATATTGTCCATTCAAGCTTTCCATCATTTTCTATGTTCCTCTGTTTTTTTTAATGTAGATTTTCTTTAGTTACACACAACATTTCTTTCATAATGTTTGTCATTTCATTTTTTACCTGAGAGATTATTTCTGATCTGATTTCCGTTATAGCTTCATGGAGTTGTTTGTTTACTTCAGTTGCTATCATTTCAGAAAGTTCAGTTGAGCAATTTCCAGTGTCTTCAATTTCAATGCCTCTTGGGTTTGTTTTCAGTGGGCTGAAGGACTGTGGCTGCTTCTTGCTCTTTCCTTTTGTCATTTTCCCCTGGGACTCCTGTGGCTGGCCGGGCACCCTCCTGATAGATTGCATTGGAACTCTGCCCTAGGCACAGTGTCAATCCTTTGATATCCTTGTCGCTAGCCGGGGTGCACCCCTGAACTGTGGCACCAGAGCCTTGTGTGACCTGTGAGGCTGGCCAGGTGTTCCCTTGATGTACTGCACTGAGTTGCTCTGGGACACTGGGCTGGGCAGAGCTTGGGTCCTCTGTGTAGCTAGCAGGGATGCATCCCTGGAGCTTGGTCCTACTGGGGCCTTGTATCTGGCTGGGAGGACTTCAGAGCCTCTGGACCAAGGATAGCTGGAGTGTGCCCCCAGCATATGGTGCCAGGGCCTTGCTCCTGGCTGGGCGGAGTTCGGAACCTCTGGGACCCGCTTCATGGCTACCTGGGCTATACCACCTGAACTATGGAGCTTGGGCCTTGTGCTCTGATGGGTGGAGCTCAAATTCTCCAAGACCTGTTGGCTAGGCTGGTTTTTCTGTGATGGGCGGCTCTTGGGCTTTGAGCTGGGTTAGGCTGTGTTCCGTACTTTTGTGACCTGTGAGGTTGGCCGGGCACTACCCCAATGTATTACACTGGGACGCTGGGTTGGCTAGAGCTCAGATCTTCCTTGCAGCTAGTACAGATGCACCTCCGGAGTGTGGTGCCAGAGCCTTATGCTTGGCTGGGCAGAGTTCAGAACCTCTGGGACCACACATTTTATTTTTGCCATACTAGACTTTTCAGCCATGAAGTTTAGAATGAGGGAGAGAGAAGGACAAGGGGCAGAAGGAGGGAGGAAAGTGGAAATGGAGGAGGAAGGGAGGAAAGGAGGAAAGTGGTGGGGTCGGAGACAGAGACTGAGACTGTGAGCTGAGGTTTGCAAAGACTTTAGGGGCCAAGCAGGAAGTGGGGTGCTTGGTAACCACGGGCCATTCCTCTCCCATCCCATTCCTCACAACTGGCTAAGGGTTGCCACTGACTCACTAGGAGTCTGGGAAATCAAATTTCCATGAGTTCCCTGCTAGAAACATCAGGGCAGATGAGTGTCCTGACAGATGAGTGTCCTGGCTGTGGGGTTACCCAAATAATGTATCTTCTACAGGCAAGCGTTTTCTTTAAGATATTTAAAGACTTCGCTGTAAACTATTCCTAAAATTCTGTTAAGGCCAGGACCACAGGTGACCCAAGAAAATGTACAAATTCCTATGTTTTGTTTTCATTTTATAATCTGTAGAATGTGAGGGACTCTCCTGAGATGTCTACCTCTGGATGTTGTGCAGTTGGCCTTTAAACGGGGACTCGGCGTGGTTGCTTAGCAGCTGTGTCTGACAGTCAGGTTCCTGTTACAGAGCAGGGTTCTGGCTGGTATGCTGTTGGCCATCAGTAAATGACAAACGCAAAGAAGTGTCTATTGCACACTGACACTGCAGGGAACAGTGTCAGGGCCGAGGGTTTCCTTTCTGCTAATCCGAATCACTCGTGACCAGTGTTTAATTTCAGGTCCGTGGCAGCTTTCAAATCACTAAATGAAGTGACTTCATTCCTGTGAGTTTGTTAATTGTATTTCACCTAAATGGTTGTTTTTGAAGCATAGTCTGTGCACAGACTGAACAGTTCACTTTGAAGAGCAAATCTAGGAAGCCTATGGCCCACACGGAGCCACACTTTACTGCATCAGTGCTGCTTGTGCTCTGCAGCATTTCATGGTTTTGGGAGTGTGAGGCTGTTACAGCCGATCACAGGGCCGTGGATCACAGTAGCAGGGGGCCAAGGTGGACACCAGCTCCGCCATTAGTTTCTTCTGGGCCTTGGGCTGCTGAGCCATTGGTGGTAGTGTAGCAGACCCCAGAGGCCGGGTGGCTTGAACAGCTGCAGTGTGTGTTCCCATCCATCATCCAGGAGCTGCAGAGCTGAGCCCAGGGTGGTGGCAGGAGTGTTTCCTTCTGAGGCCTGTCTGACTGCAGAAGGTATCTTCCCAGGTCCACAGTGGTATTCCTGTGCATGTCTCTATCCAAAAACGCCTCAGTTTATAAATAACCAGTAAAACTGTATCAGCATTTACCCAAATTACCTTATTTTGATTTCTCCTTTTAACAACCCTGTCTCCAAACAGTTATGTTGCAAGGGACTGAGTATTAAGAACTTCAGGGTACAAATTGGGGTTTAGAGGACCTGGTCCAGCTCATAGGAGGCCTTCGTCCACCCTGATTTTCAAAATGCATCATAAAATGTTTCATATTGTTGTTGTGAGTACTCCGGGTGTGGGGGTGGGGTGAGGTATGGGATTACTTCACACGGTACCTGGAATCTGGTGAGCACTCACTGAATAGAACTGCATCGTAAATCTTAGTCTGTCATCCATTCCATTCCGTGACTGAGGCCTGCAAGCATCTTAGTCTTTCTTGGGCACTCAGAGCCTCTGAGCAGGTTGAATACCCAGGGAAAAGGGGTGGTGTGGATGGGATCCTTCTGTGTTGGGGATTGCCAAGCTGTCTTCAGTGGCTGTCACTTTGGGGTCATTTGCTGTCGTGCATACAAAGCTCAGTTGTTCTCATTCCTGCTGTGGCTTCTCCAGTGGCTGTAGCAAAATGAGTCACATACTTAGAGAAGAACAGTCTCTCCGTGACTGGGGCAGGAGACATAGGAAGTTTGCATTATCAGGGAAGTAACTATTAGAGTCACAGCAGTAGGTCACTGAGCACAAGAATTACCTAAGTACTCAAAGTGACATTTAAGTAATGCGATGTTTGAAAGTGTCTGGCATTCTTAGACTTGATAAATATCAATAGAGTTCTTTTGTGCTGGTGTAACAGTAAGTTATCATTTCAGGTCCTGGAAATTGCCTGTCTTTTAAGTCCAAGGCATTTCTTCTGTCAGTTGTTAAAGCTGTTCTTTTAAAGTAAAAGAAGAACAGCTTTAACATCACCGCCCTTATTTGTATTAAAAGCAGCAGGTGAGGCTCCCCTCTAGGGTCAGAAGAAGGAGGTCTAGTGGTGTGGCCTCTCATGTAAGCTGTAGGGAAATTCTGGGAGTGAAGTGGGCAGTGTGGCTGGCATCCGAAGCCAGGAGTCTGGTGTGTCTGACCCTGCCACCTCTGTTCTGTGCTATCTCCACATAATGCGAGAAATAAATCAATTTGTTGGACATACATTTTCTGGAAAATCAGAGAATTAGTATTAGTGTAAGAAGCATTCTGAATAAAAATAGCACATACCTATGTATCCCATGAATTTATACAAAGTGAAATTTAACTTACCAAAAAATAATATATATAGCTCCAATTTTTTTGAATGTAATGGCTAAAACATATCCGACTAGGAATTGATGAAATAAGCAATTCCATATTACCTAATTTTCTTGTAAATTGCTTTGCTTTTCTATTTAAAAACAACTCCACCAAAAGCAACAATAACAATAATAATAACAAGAAACAGAAAAAATAGCTCGTGTCCTTCCCTTAGAAATCCCTACCCTGCATTTCCACTGCCCTCCGAGGCCTCCACCTGCTCATAGAAGAAAAGATGCGTCAGGTGCTCTGACTGGCATCTTTCCTTCATTCTAGGTTATATTGTTGTTGTTTTCTCCTTGGCTCTTTGGTTTTGTTCCTCTTTCCTAAAGTGTTTTGTAACTTTGCTTCTTTGCCTTTTCATTCATTTAATTTAACTTAATTTTTTTTTTCTGGCAGAAAAGAGCAAGTTAGTACCCTGTATCAGAACATCAACCTTGTGGAGCCAAGACTAATCCAGCCCTACGAACATGTGATAAGGAACTTTCTCCGGGAGATCAAACTTCAAAGCAAAGAGATGGAACACCTGGCCATGGCAGTGAAGAGGTACTGAAGTCCTCCCTTTATGAGGGGCGGGCACATGGGGTCCTTTAACTTGCTCTCTGGTCTGGGTGACAAATGGACTGCACTGCATTGATGCATAATAACACGGGTGGACTTTCTGACACCTGAACTCAGCCAGCGGGTGGCAGGTTGAGTCCAGCAGTGATTTACAGGTGTATGTGTACCTCCCTGTCCACTAATTAATCAGTCAGTGAGTCATTGTTCATTGTGGTCCTCTTATATCCACACTTCAGGACCAATGACTGTATACAGAACGAGTTGGAGATTTGTCTTACACCAGCTACTTCCAGTATAAAGGACGCTTCCAGAGAAACTAGCAGGGCTCCATTTGAAGCCTGGCCTTTAACTTGTGTGCCAGACTCTGCGGGCAGGTTGCCTGACCTCCCTGAGTCTCATTTCCTGCACTTGCAAAGTGAGGCTGAAGTGTTTGTGTGCTGGGGTTTGGAGATTCAGCAGACAATGCTGTGGGTGGAGCCCCTCAGTTTGTGCCTTCCCCGTGGTGGGTGCTCAGTCATGTGTCTTTCCTCTCAGCAGCCCTCTTCACCCAGTCCTGCTTCCCAGCCAAAAGCCAGGACACTGATGCACTCTGCTACAATGCGGCAGCTATGGAGTGCACAGCTCATATGGGCTGTCTTGCTGCTGTAACAGAGAAGGGGAGCTGGTGCGTGTTGTAGTCCAAGCATCAGCCCTGGGAGGCACCTGTCTTTACACACACCGGGAGAGTGGGCACATGTGGGGGTTCTGCCCCGCAGGTGCTTCTTGTGTCTGTGTGGTCCAGTAGGAGCACTCAGCAGTCTGCACCCTGAACTTGCAAACACAAGGCCTGTGATAGGATGCTCCCTGCCTGCTTGGTGGCAGGTGACAGCTTTGAGCCCATGTGTCTGTAACTTCCCTGTCTCCTTATTCTTCTTTTTTGGAGTAACTGAAAGGACTTACAAATCAGAAGAGAGAATGTTGCAGAATTTGGATGCTAAATAGAACTATTCTTGTAGTGCTAGAGCCAAGCAAGAGTTGAAATACTCACTGAGGGTTTCACAGGAACATTTTCTGTACCTGTTGCCCTCAGGTTTGCCTTCCAGGGGCTTCTAAGAGGATGGTTCTCAAAGCTCCAAGTTCTGTAAGGTTGCCGGAAGCTCCGGAGATGGCTTCCTCTGCAGTGTGACACTTAAGCACACATACTGATTCCTCAGAGTGTTCACTGACTTGGGTACGTGCATAGGGGAACACAGAGCCCCACAAAGTCATCTGTCTCTGGGTAGGACGTCGGTGTCTTATACCCTAGATTGCAGCATGGAGAATCTCTTTTTTTGCACTCAGTGACTATTAAGAGCGGTAGGATGTCCTAAGTAAGCCAGCTATCCCCCGTAGGAATTGTCTGTGCTAGCAAACCTAGGGCTTACTAATGATACACTCTTACTGCCAGCAGGCGACTGGCTCAGTGGCGTGGTTCCCTCCCTCCATGTTACTCTCTGTTGGTCTTTCTCTGCCTCCTTCTGTGCTGTGTGGCGGCCTCGTAGCCAGGCTGTCTCTTGGGCCTGGGGTCTCTCCTAAGGAGCCCTCTTTTGCTATCAGAGCTCTCGTCAAAGTTCAGTACTTCTTGTAGTCCTGGACTGTGGACCATCCCTTGGATTCCTAGACAGGAATCCCTGCTCACTTTCACTCCTAAGGGAGAGTGTGAGACTTTTCACACTGCACTGGACCTAAGACTGGGATCCTAGTGTCCTGGAAGGAGTCATGGGCAAGGTAACAGTAGACATTTTGCTAGGAATTAGCAATTTCCAGGCAGACATTGTATTGGTGATTTACACACACACACACACACACACACACACACACACACACACACGATGTTGCTCAGAAGAGAGAAAGAAAACCCTGGGGTCAGTCCCAGTTGTTTGGAACTGTATAGCTAAAAGAATAGCTAGAAAGAATGATTGTAATACAGAAAGAAAGGATATGGTCATTCTGTTTATGGCCTCAGATTTAACAGCAAAAAATGTTGCAGTGTAGATACATAAATTCTAGACTTCAAATAGCAGGTATTTGTAAAAAGAAGCTAGCTAACTAACTAAAATCAGTTAGCATAGCATCTTGGCTAGACTCTAAAGAAGTAAACGAGAGCAGAAAATAGTGATCCTAAACATTTTACTTTGGGGCCTTTTTCTCCCCTCACTGTGTTTGAGGTTTTACATAGCAAGTAAGCTCATACATAAATGGTGCTGTGAAAGGGCAAGTGACAGGTGGGGTACACCCTGGGGCCACCACTCAGGAAGGTGGGAGGCCCTACGTGGGAGGCCTGTTGTCCACCTCAGGACCGTGTGCTGTCATTGTCCCTGACTGGATCGACTCTGGATCTTGGGGGGCTGGTCTGAGGTCACTTACAGTAGCATTGACAAGCCTTTGTATGCATGAAAAGTTGGACACAAAGCTCACGGAAAGCAATAGGAAGACACATCTTCCCAGGCGTGTGATCTCTGGCTTTTTATGATGGCTTAAGTTAGACAGTTGATAGTAAAATAGTCCTTCAATTCCTCTACCAGTTTTTATATTTCTAATTTTTTTCCTTTTCCAGGCTTTTTTCTCATATTTCTATTTTTTTATCAGTACTTGTCAGCAGTACAGAGTGATAGTATTCATTGGGGGGTGTTGACACACGTACATAACTCATCTGAATTCCCCTTTTACTCCTCCCTCCGGTCCCTTCTATAGAGACATGACTTAGTGATGACATTAACAGAAGAAACAAATTTTCTAAAAGGTAATACATTACAGTATGTAATGTGGGGAACTGACTAGAAATAATCCCTGAAATCTTTTTCCCCCTCTTATTTTACTATACAGCATTGTGAATTTCACAGAATAGAGTTTTAAAATTGTATCTAACGTCTTTTCAGCAGAGTTCTTTTCTTTGGTCCAGATCAGTAACTCAGTTATGATAGCAAATGAGAGTTTTGGAATTTGAGAATCTCCCAGTTATTTGGTAATTGTAACTATTCTTTGCCACAGTCTAATTTACTATCACTCTATATAGTTTATTTCATTTATACATCTATTTTTAGTGTTTACAGCCAGTGGTTAAATTACCAATCTTACATGGAAGAGGCAAGAGATATTTATAAGGAATGGTGTGTTTCCCTCATTTGTAAGGTACAGGGCTCAGAAGAGACATGGGTGAAGTTTCTCTTCTGTTTCTGGTCCAGGTGCATAATGAAATGTCTGCCTCCCTTCACATTTCAGAGCTCAGAACCAGACAGCCATGCAGCTGAGCGAGTTGGAAGAGGAGATGGATCAGAGGATTCAGGCTGCAGAACACAAGACCCGGAAAGAAGTGAGTTTCTGGGTCAGCGTGGGTACAGCAGCAAAGCCTCGTGGGGGCATGGGTGCAGCACACTAAGGTCTCCACGGGGCGCCTCGCAGAAGGGCTGTCAGCAGCAGTGCTTCTCGGGAAAGGCAAAGGGAGAGGCAGAGATTATGTCCACGTAGATAGAAGTGGCAGGTGGTCTTCAGATCATGACAAGTGCCATGAAGAAGCTCTGTGACAGGCAGTGAGCAGGACGGGAGTCTGCTCAGCAGGGCTGAGGCCTCTTTGAAGAAGTGACCTGCGAGTCGGGGTACAGAGGTGCTCTGGTCTCTATAGCCTGTCTCACTGCCGAGTCCTCTGCCAGCTTTGAATCTAGACTGCAGTGAAATTAAAATCTATCTCTCTGTGTAAGGTACTTCATAATAGAAAATTATTATTATTATAGGTATTCTTCAAGCTAAAAGTTGTATGCTACCTTTGGTGATTTCCACTGAAAAATTTTTTTTCTCCTTATGAAATATATTTGGACAATGTTTACTGAAAACAGAATAGACATACCTCCTTGATCCAACTTTAAGCTGGGGTAACACCTGCCCAGTGGTGTTAGTGAGGCTTAGCACAGTGGTCAGTAGATGAGCCTGGAGCAGTGCCCACGAGCAGGCGGGCACACAGCGCTGTCACTCCCCGCTGGTCTCTGGGTTCAGTCTCCCCCCGGTTTCTTCGGGGCTCTTCAGTGTCTGTGTCCTGTGTGTATCCCAGTCTCTCTGCTGTCCTGTCCCTCAGCATGAAGTGTAATAACTCTTGGGACGTCATACTCCATTGAGGAAATAGTTCCGAGTTCTTGGCTAAGCATTAGAACAATGGACAGCCTGTTCTGCTAGCAATTTCCTTATTAGAGTTCAGAAAGAATAAAATGGCCTTTCCCATGTCTTTTTTTTCTTTTCACCCATTCTATTTAAAACGTGCACTCATTCATTCATCAAACTCTAACCAGGTGTTTGGTTTTCTGTTTGGTACTGGGGATCAAACTCACTTGTTCCGCTGATGTAAATCCCTGAGCCTCCCAGGTGTCATTTTGCCTTTAAATCACATGGCTCTCCCGAAGTGTCCCACCCTAGTTGTTGGTGGTATGTGCATTTCCATGGTATTCACTTGTTACAGCTTCATGCTTTGGTAACTTCAGCCTTGTCACTGGTTTCCTGCTTTGGTCCAGGGTAGAGAAATCCCTGGCAAGCACAGCTTCCTTTCTCTGCCTCCAGTGCTGGCCCCGGTGACCAGCCCTGTGCCACCTGCCCCTGGGCTCTGAACCTGAGCATGGTGGCGGAGCCTGCTGCCTGCCGAGCAGTCTTGGCCCTGGGAGGGCTCCTCTTTTCCAGCTCTTCCTGTGTCTGCATCCACCGCAGAGCCTTCTGAGTGGCAGCGTGGTGACCTGAGGACTTGCAAGGGTCTTCTCCACCCTCCCTCAGCACCAGGGCTCGCCCAGCTCCCCAGGCTCCAGGCTCACAGCCCTGCTCTTGCTCCAGCTGTCACCCGCACCGAGGGTGTCGCCCTCTGCTTTTCACATCCTGAATCCTTGCTGACCTTTCCTGTGTTCGGGGGTAGGTACACACCGTGAAAGCGTCTTCCCGGACAAGGCCACGGGTGCTTCCACCTGGAAAGTTTCTTCAGGACTTTCATTAAAGCTTGCTTTTGTTGTCTGTTTCCTAGGCAACTGCTGTTTTTTTTTTTTTTGTCATTATAGATTCTTTTAAAGTTTTCAGAATTACAGCTAAATGAAATCTTGCAGTAGATACTATTTTTCATCTGTCTGGCTTCCTCTATTCTAGGTAACTACCATTTGAGCTTATGTATTAATGCTCATACTTTCATGTAGCAGAGTAGTATTCTGTTGCATAAACACACTTCAGTTTCTTTATCTATCCATCTGTTAAGGTCCTTTGAGTTATTTCCAGTTACTGGCTGTTGCAACTTAAAGTTCTGTGCGTATTCCTGTACAAGAATTTAGATAGGCATGTTTTTATTTCTCTAAAGTAAATTCCTGGAATGGAAAGTCTGGCCGTCTGTGTTTGCTTTCATCAGACTCCACTGTCCTGACATCCAGGCTGGTTGTGCTTACGCAGCCTTGCGTGCCCTTCCCTCTGTCAGCATTCGTGGGGGGCAGAGGAATCTTGCTGTTTCCCTCACATTCCCCTGCTGACTAATGCTGCTGGGGATGTTTGCATCTGTTTATTTGTTTTATTCTATCTCCTTCAGTCAGGTGCCTGTTAAAAGATTTTGCTGATTTTAAAAATCTGATTGTTTTGTTATTACTGAGTTTTGAGTTTTATATATTCTGAACAGAAAAATTATGAAATACTGATATATAAAAAATGTTTTTACCCAAATTGTGACTTGTTTTTTCATTCTGCTAACCTCATCTTTTATAGAGTAGAAAATTTTAATTTTGATAAAATCCATATTTCCAATTTTTTCCCTTCCTGAATCATGCTTCTAGTGTTTTATTTAAAAATTTTTGACTAGGGCCTGGTATATAATTCAGTGGCAAAGCACCTGCCTGGCAAGTGCAAGGTCGTGAGGTCGTGAGTTTGATCTCTGGTACCAAAAAAAAATTTTTTGACTAATGCATAATTTTTCGTAAGTTTTATTATATTAGGTTTTTCATATAAGATCTGTTTAATGTCTTATATATGGTATAAAGTATGAGTTAGTGGCCAGGCATGGTGGCTCATGCCTGTATTCCCAGCACTTGGGAGGCTGAGGCAAGAGTATCATTGCGAGTTCGAGACCAGCCTGGGCTACAAAGTGAGCTCAAGGCCAGCCTGAACTGCATAGAGACCCTGTCTCAAAAAAAGACAAAAAAAATAAAGTATAAGTTAGTGGTCCTTTTTTTTTTTTTAATGTGAACATCCAATTGTTCCAGCAGCTGTTGTTGCAGATTATTCTCCACTGAACTACCTTGAATTTTGTCTAAAATGAATCTAGTGTATTGTGTAGGTTTATTTCCAGGCTCTGTTTTCTGTTTTGTGGATTGATTTGTCTGTCTTTATATGGATATTAATATTTGTTACTTTATTAAAAGTCTCAAAATCAAGTGGTATTCATCTTCACTTTATTCTTTTTCCAAGATTGTTTTGATTATTTTAAGTTCTTTAATTTATGTTAAATTGCCTTGTCATTTTCTAAAGAAAAAACAAACAAACCAAAAACAAGTCTTCTGGGAGTTTGATTTTAGGTCTTTGCATCCATAGCTGTGGGGAGAATTCTCATCATAATAATATCGAATATTCTATGCTTAGGTTTTTATCTCACTTTACTTAGGTCCTCCTTACTTTCAGCAATCTTACAACTTTTAACCTGCCGATATTCATCTTTTCTCAAACTTATTCCTAGCATATCATTTATGATGCAAGTGGAAATGTTATTTTTTATTAGTGCATATTAATTATTTAAAATAGTGGGTTTAATTTTGGCCTGTTGGTGCATGCATATAACATATTGATCATTTTCACCTATTAGTTTTCCCTGGAAAACTTTTCAAACTTTTAATTTCCAATTGTTCTTTATAAACATTTAGAAATGTATTTGATTTTTGTGTGTAGCTTTTTTTCTGTAGTGTTGCCTACATTGTTTATGCTTAGGTTTTGGTAGATTTCATCAGATTTTTAGGGTGATAATGTAATCTCTTAAAGACAGTTTCATTTTTTTAAGATCTTGATAATACTTTTTATTTTTCTTGCCATACTGTGTTGGCAAGAATAAAAGAAGTGAAAGCAGTTATTCCTGCAGTCATTCAGTGTTGAGTACAATGTTAACAGTGTGCTGTGTATAGAAGCTCTGGCTCACACTGAGAGGACCCTTTCTGGTACTCGTTCCCTAACTTTTTTGGGGAAGGATGTTGTATTTTGTCAAATGCTTTTTGTGTGTCTATTGAAATTGTAATATTTCTTTCTTATTTAGAAGATTAATGTGGCAAATTATATAGATTTGATTTTAGAATATTAAAATGAGTTTCCATGCTGGAAATAAACTCAGATAGTTATAATGTATTATTCTTTTCATTTATTGTTGGATTCATTCTGCCAAGTCTTAGCTACTGTATTTTTATCTGTGATTATGGGAGACTGCAGTTTCCTTTTAATGTTTTTGACTTTAGTGTCAGGCTAATGCTGGGTCTCATGAAATGGCTAGAGAAGTGTTTCTTTCCTTCATTTCTGTTTGCTTGGAAAGAGTCGATCTGAACTACCACCATTTCCTATCTACCTGACTGTAGTAGTGAGTCAGTCCCACCTGAAATCCTGCATCTGTCTCCCTCTGCAGGTTAGAAATGGAATAGGCTGATGGTGATGTCCTTAATTGGGCTCTGAGTGACATATTTTTAAATCGTACAAGTTGTTTTGGCCATGGATCCAGGGAAGATACTTGTGTCCGAGTGGTTATTAATGCAGAGAAGGCTGCCACCGTTTCCATCCACTGAGCGGCTCTCACCTCCTCACCTGTAGAGCTGAATGACTCTAAGACAGCTTCTTAAAGAAAGTTAACATTTGGAGAAGTGTTGCAAAATGCTTCTTGTCTATAGGCCTCTAAGGCCATTTAATAGGCCAAACCTATTTAAACCAACAAAGTCTATTTTTTTTGTCTTTTAGGAAAAACGTAAAGCTGAAGAAGCCCTCTGTAACCTCAGACATCAGTATGAAACAGAAGTGGGAGATCTACAAGTGACAATTAAAAAACTCAGAATGGTAAGTATGTGCCCAACTTTGAGGAGCAGTCTCAGGATCTTGTGTCTAAGCAATTAAGCTGAAAACATCTAGAATCATACTGAAGTGGCAGATTTCAAACCAATCTACTCCTTGAGCAGACACTCTGAGTTCCTCTTCAGTTTCCAAGATCACCTGTGTTTCTCATACAGCTAATAAATATTTCGGATCCCTGAACACTTGTCCTTCAGACCCTACTTTGCTTCCCTCAGTTGTCACCAGCCAGGTGCCTCAGGTGCCCTGTGTCCAGCGGCTTCTGCTCTTTGCTGTAGAGACATGGCAGAGTGTCCTTTGTCACATACCTCTACATCTCCCCCCTAACTTACTTCAAGGTCAGAAGTAGTGAATATTTTTTTAAATGAAATGAATATTGCTTTTCTAAGTAGAAAGTTCCAGATGCAGGGGATCCCAGTGAGCAAAACTCAAGCAAGAACTTGCTGAAATATGAGCAGAAGTATGATTGGGTTTTGGCTTTGTCTTGGTTCAGTTCTAAAGAGCCAGGTCCTTGGCACTGAGTGATGTACTGGTGGATATTAACAAGTGGCTCTGGGGGAAGGCGGAAGAGCAGGAGAGGTTCGCATAGCATTTACCACTTCGGTGGTGTGGATCCCTGTACCGTTACTGATTTGCAGCTGTTAAGTTGACATCCCCGAGTGCAGAACTGGGAAGTGATGTTTGAGGTAGGCAGTCACCTCTGTAACAAGCTGGTCCATGTTGGCAGGAAGTGTGCTGTGACCCGGCTGCTGCTGGAACCTGGATAGCGAGGCCACAATCAGGAGGGCTGAAGCCTGAGTCATTGTTCCACTTTGTCCTGGAATACCTGCAACAATTTGTTTCATTTTTGTGATCCTTAATTCCTTTTTTTTGTCGTTTTTTTTGAACTTGCTATGCAGTTCAGGCTGCCTTTGAGCTCACTTTGTAGCCCAGACTGGTCTCAAACTCACAGTGATCCTCCTGCCTCAGCCTCCCAGAGTGCTGGGATTATGGGAGGCATGCACTAGTATGCCTGGCTTTGATCCTTGGTTTCTTACCCATAAAATGGAGTTAAAAATGAATTGTCCTAATTAACCATAATAATTATAATTTTACTGAATTCACAGTTTATTAAGTTCTTGTTCATAATTTTAAAAAATACTGATACAAACTTTTCTGAAGAAGGTGTACATATCCTACTTCTACATATATGGACTGAGTTCCAGGAAGCCAATAACTTGTTCAGAGTCACACAACTAATAACCGATGGAGTTGTACTACAGTGCTTGTGGTTTCTCACTCATGGAGACTTCTTGCTCACATGACACGGTTTTTGCATCAAACAATATGATTTATAAGATTACATTAAAGATGATAATGAAATCATAGAAAAGCTTACAGCTGTTCTGATTTCCATTAATTTATATCAGTGTTTCTGAATAACTTATTTATTCCCCCATAATTCTTCTTTCTGTGACGTCAGACTGCATCTTACTGTGAATGGCTTCTCTTACTTGGTTGGTCAGCCACTTGGCAGTCATGATGCAATTCCATCAATTCCGTATGGCAAGGTGAAGTCCAGAGCCGAAACCCTCAGACCTGATGAAATGTGCACAGCACCTTGAGCAGTGTGTGGCCACCGCACTTCCGGGGGTTGTAAGCTCCTTGTAGGAAGGACCGTCTGCTGCCCCTGTTGGTGCTCCTGGACCACTGTAATGTGGTGATACGGATGAGGCATCCACAGGCAGAGTGCATGTATGCACTCATGTAATTGCATGTATGTGAGTCTCTGGCTTCACGTCATGCTTAGATTTTATTGGTTTCAGTTACTTAATGGAGTACTTCTTTAACTTACCACGATGAAAACATAAGTGGGTCTGCTCCCTCCTCTGTTCTTAAATCTATCAGGCAGAGGTAAGACACTGTTGGGCCGCTACAGTGCAGAATGGAAAGTGTTCAGGGCCAAGACTTTAAGAGAATTTGTGTGTCCGGATGTATGTATGTACTTCATAGCTGAATGGTTTCCAGAAAGGGATTTTATGTTTTCAAGAAAGTTCTTTAGATAGCAGGATTTCTTTCAAATGTTTAAATTATTTAAAACATTTTCAAATCTTTATGGATTTCATGTTGTTTAATAAATTATAAAGTCCTGCAATGTTGAAAGTTGGAGCTGTCTAGAATTTTTATATTTATACTCAAGGAAATTCTTGCACTTTACCAGAGCAGTTCAAAATGGATGTGTTAATGTACAACTTTTATTTGTTCTTTCAGCTTGAAGAACAATCAAAGCACATAAGTAAAAAAGAAGATGTAGCAGCATTAAAAAAACAAATTTATGATTTATCATTGGTAAGAATCACCTTTCACTTTCAGAAATACATTTCTCATTACACAACAGAATCCTATTCATGCTGGTAGTTCAGCGTTCCGGGAATGAAGTTTAAAGAGAAACTGACCCTGTAGCTGAAACAAAGGTATTCTGTGTGAGGCATTTGCCTCAGCAAATTGCATCCTATTGTGAGTGGTTTTATTTCAGTTTCAGACAAAGACATGGTGCTTGAACTCCACCTAGTGTGGTTAGCCTGCCCTCTGCCCCATGACCGTCTGCCCTTGACTCTGTGGGGGACGTCGTGGTCCTGTCCACCCTGGGAACCCTCTTTCTGATCCCTCCATCTTCTGCTGACTTCATCTTTTTCTATTGCAGCTAATGTGATTAATGTGTTATCATTATGAAGTTTTGTTAGTTTGATTTTAGGTTAACTTCTAAACAGGAAAGCAGTTAAAAGACTGCTTTGCAGTTAAAGACTTTATTACAAAGCAGTTAAATGACTTTATTACACATTTGAATATTTTCTCTGCAGAGCCAGGGGGTGACCTGGGGCTGCATTCAATTTCTCCAGGTCTTACCCTCTCATACCACTCTGTAGACAGGGCATGCAGCTTCACGGTCAAGTGGGCCCCTTCACCGCCACCAGTTCTGAATCATGCCAGGTCTTACTTGGCTTCATATCGGGTCATGACTTTCATGGCTTTTTTTTTTTTTTTAATCTACTGGCTGAGTTCTTGTTGAAAGAAACCCTGCTAACCCTTTTTATATCTCTGGTACCTTCAAACTTCTTTTCAGTACTCAAAATGAGCCCAGGCTTTGCTCTAAGCTGTATCCCAGACTTTTTTGTTTTTATTTTGAGGTGGGGTCTCCTAAAGTGCTAAATTGCCCACATCGGGCTCCAGCTTGCAATCCTCCTGCCCCACCTCCAGAATGCTGAGATTCCCTTTTCTAGGCTTTGAAATGCATGGAGGTTAATTTCCCCTTAATGACGTTAACTTTGGAGCTCATGAAATTTCATTTTTTATTGAGCTGATTGTTTATTAAGCTTGCTTCCTACCCATGTATCATACTAGCATTTGTTTTCATTGGGTCCTTCACTGGATTGCAGCATTTTGCATGGTACAATTTTCTTCCTTCTGGAATTTACTTATTTTACTATTGTACATCCTCAAGAAAATTCTGCAGAAAGAAGGGTACATTTTTTCCACTTTTGAATATTTGAGTATGTCATTTTCCTTCCTCTCAATTTATTGAGTTTGTCTAGAGAAGTGATGTGATTCCTTTAGAGATCAAGAGGCAAACTGTAGCCCTAAACCCTTAAGTATACTAACACCATCATTAAACTTGAATTCTGAGGTTTAGTTTGTGAAAAATTATCCACAGATTAACGTCTTTTGTCTTAAAAGAAAAACACAGTAACACGCGTCATAGGTTCACCACCACTGGTCTAGGTAAACAAGCTTTCCTGGTCCTCTGGGGCAGTTCATTCAGGGCTCTGTGTTAGCCCTGCCTGTTAAAGAGCCTGCACCTTCACGCACAGGAGTTGGCACAGGAATGGGGCAGACAGACAGACAGACAGGCACACACAGATTATATCCAAGCCCACCAACTGCCTTTCCACTGCTCTCCTTTTGGTAGCGCCCTTCCGTGCTGTCTCTGCCTCCCAGGAGTATGTCTACATCGCTTTCGTTCCTTTCAGTGGTTCTGATCATTCCCTTGCTATTTAGTGGACTTTCACAAGGGACGGAAGCCTAGTTTGCGTCCTTGGTACACTACCTTGGACTAGAGGCCTCCAGCAATTGTTTAAAAGTCACAGTATAGACATTTCCTAGCCCATACTGGTTTATTTTTAAGCATACAGCTTAAAAATGGAAGGCGCCAGCATGCACTGTGACCATGCCAGTGCGTTGTGCTGGAGCTGGAGAATCTCACTGCCTTGGGAGGTGATGAGGTGCTCCAGGGTCTGATGCACTCTGCCAGCGACATCCTGGAGTACAGCTTGGCCAACCTGACTACTGTAGACCAGTGACAAATGTCCAGTGCTAAAACGCTGAAGAGCAGCAGCTCTGAAGATTTAGATTTTAGAGGCAAATAACTTGGACAGATGATTATTAGTTCCTTAAACAGAAAGATGTGGAAAAGCAGGGGAAAGTCCGCAGTGACATGCGTGACAGTCCCACCGCACTTTGCTTTCTTTCTCCCAGGAGCAAGAAACTGAATCTCATGCCTGCTCTCTTCCTTTTTGCTAGGAAAATCAGAAAGTTAAGAAAGAGCTGCTGGAGGCACAGACAACCATAGCCTTTCTTCAGAGCGAACTCGATGCTCTAAAAAGTGACTATGCTGACCAGAGTCTGAATTCTGAAAGGTATGAAACGTTGCATTTTATTTTTGAGTTTGAGTGGAATATTTATTTAGCTAATTATGGGAATGAAGCTTACCAGTACAATAATAAAGGCTAAGTTATTCCTTAACTTTGCTAACTTAAAGTTGTGCCTTCAGTGTTAGATTTCCTCAGGGTTTCTGTGTGTGTGTATGTTTTTAATTTTTTAAAAACAGACTTTCTGGTTTAATATCTGCTTAGAAGAGTGTAGGGCTTAATAAATGGCTGGATTAACGGGGAGCAGGAAGAATAAAACTAAATTGTGAATCATACATGCTATTACAGTGCTGTGCATTTAGGAATCTTGGCCTAAAACGTAAAAGCTAGAAGAGTAGATCTCTTAAATGAGCTGCTTAAGTTTTTGATACTTACATTTTAGAGTATGGTGTTAAAAATATAAAACCTAACAGAGACATGTATTTATAGACATATCATGAATATTTGTGGAGGAATAACTGTAACTTGAAAAATTATAACCTTTGCAGTTTTACCTTGAGGAAAATACAAGGTTTTTTTTGTTGTTTGTAAAGTTTGATCAGAATCAGGGTTTTTATTGGAAAACAAACATTAAGTATATTGTATACAGATAACTAAGCAAGATATGGAGTTCTGAATTTGGAGTATACAAAATAAAAAGGAAAGATGTAGTCTGCTCTTGGAGAGCTCAAACTTTTTTGAAGGGAACACAACAGAAAGGATAGATTTAAATAAGGTAAGAGCTGAGCAGTGTCAGGACGGACACCACAGCAGGGATGGGGTTGGGCCCATTGTCACATAGTCACACAAGTTTTTCTTTCCACTCAGTCTTGCTAGAGAGAAACCCATGGTGGATGTAGGCAGCGGGATGGGCTCGCATTGGTCAGGGATGCAGAGGCAGTGACAGCCACTTTGGTAGTGGAGACTGGCACTAGGCCTACAGGGCACTGTCCTCAGTGCTTGACTGGTGTTTTCTCCTGCAGTGCACAGAATTCCCCGTCAGACTGAGATCTTCGTGGTTTGCATGTTACAGATAGGAAGAGAGTCTCAGGGATGTCCCAGATGGGGCAGTAACAGAAGCAGGGACGAAAGAACACATGGAAAGATAACTCTGCCTTGGGAGAGGTAGCTGGACCCTTGGACAACAGGAGATACTGTGAATGGAAAAGCAAAAAAGTTAAAAAAATTTAAAAGCTATTCAGGCTGAACTGCAGGGGCCCAGAATTTTTCACTAACAAACGTAAATTTCTATAGACAGTTGGGAAGCCTTAGGCTTTACTATTCAGGGAGCAAATGGACAGGGTTTTATGCATAGAATGTTACAACCTAAGAGGATTTGAAAGCTGGTGATGGGTTTGTCTGCTCAGCCTGGGGCCGAGAGAGGCCAGAGGTGCAGCACACGCATTCAGAGGGCACAGTTTGAGGAAGAAGCCAGGGCTTCTGCCATGCGGCAAAAGGAGGGCGGAGCCTGTCTTTCCTATGAGCTAGAAGCTGGGCTGGTGGCTTCCTCTCTAGTTTAAGGTGAGTAGGGGAGAGAGAGCAGCAGGGAGGAGGCCGAGAAAGAAGACAGCGCAAGAACCGCAAGAACCGAAAGACAGGTGGCAGTGAGAGTCCTTAAGGCGTCAGGGGGAAGAGAAGGTCCCTTCCCTGACTGTGAGGGAGGGGGGACTCCAGCAGATGGAGTCTGTCCCAGTGAGGAACAGAACCAGGTCACAGGAGTCAAGGGAGGAGGAAGCACCACCTTGCTAGTGTGGGCTGAGCTTACAGGAAGTGGAGTGTGAGTCCTCCAGCCGATGCCACAGGGACAGAGTGATGGAGCGGGAAGAGACAAGGTCAAGGCGCTTGCTTTTGGGGAGGTGAAAAAGGCCCTGGGAAGATAAGTGTAGGTAAGCAGGACTTGACACCTAATTCTCACTTGAACGTACGTATAATTTTACAGGGATCTGGAAATAATCCAAGAATACACGGAAGTTCAGAACAGTCTCGAGAGGCAAATTGAGATACTCCAGTAAGTTTTATATAAGACACTAGGTACATTTACATTTGACTTGTGCTTTGTTAATAGGACACACGCGCCACCTGCGGTGCTCACACATGACTGGGTTTGCAGCTGTATGTGTTCTGCTTGCTGTGGTACATTCATACATCCACTGACAGAGCCTTCTGATGAGACTGACCCTAAATTTGTCATTCAAATGCAAGAGCTAGATTTAGTTCTTCACAGTCCTTGCAAGTCAGGAGTGTGTTCAGCAGGCCCTTTTCATGCCTCTGTGCAGAGTAGCATCCCCGACCCTTGGTTTGCCTTGCAGCTCCGGAGCCTGGGAATGTCTCAGGCCTTTTGTGTTGGCCTCACTATGGCTTTGCCGTCTTTCTCGGTCAGAGGTGATTATGTTCTTAGGTCCGCCGAGAGATACCACACTTGGACTGTCAGCTCTCTTATTTTCAGCCTGCGAGGGTCTCCCACACGGATCAGCCTCTCTCCCGCTTTCTTCCTTTCCCACCCACACAGCATTTTCTTCTGTTCTCAATTCACCAAATGAATTAAGATCAGGCTTGACAAATCTTTTTGCAGCATTTTAGTAAGTCTTACCTATGCAGTTATTGCTCCCATTTATTACAACAACCTTATTAATTCATTCCTTTCCACTCAGTGGACTTTTCAGTTGGTGCCTTTTGCAGGTCAGGTGTGCTGGAAGTGGAGGGTGAAGTGGCGAGTAGGAGAAGAAGTCTCTCTTCTTGTAGGGCTGTTCTGGGGGCACAACTGAGGCCCTGTCAAGTAGTATAGAAGGAAATACAAGATGCAGGGCAAGAGAGATTTGGCAGAGGGAAGCCGCATGTCCCCTGAGGGGAGGCTTGGCCTACTGAGGTCAAGGAAGTGTTCCTGGAGAAGCACAGTTGAGCTGAGCTCTGAGAGGTCATGTGGTCATGTGGCCCAGAGCCAGCAGCTCTCTCTGCTGTGAAATGACTTTTATGAAGTTGTGGGGAAGTCAGTGTCTGAGCTGGAACTGGAAACCAGCTCTGCTGAGATCAACAATCCTCCTAGGCTGAGAGCATGATGCAGGAGGAGCCAGGAGGCCCAAACATGATGCCATGCACTACAAACGTGTCTGGCCAGGGGTATGCAGTGCCCAGTGAGGTTCGGGCATGTGCATGAAACCTCCCCAACTGGGAGAAGCACACAAGAGGAGTGTGAGTTCCACAGCATAGTAATGCTTTCCTGAGACACCGAGACCTTTAAGGAGAGGCAGCTAATCAGTCCTGTTGTGCTTGGAGTAATAAATCATGATCTCAGTTTCTGAGGTTTGAAAGGAAGAGGGAGAAAATTACAGAATGTGGTAAATAAACCTACATTGTGAACATCACTGTCGGAAAAGGCAGTGCTATACGGGCCCTCCCTCTAGTGTCCTTATACACCCATCTCTTTTCTTACGTACAGATCAGCTAACCGAAAGCTGCACGACAGCAACGACGGGCTGAGGAGCGCCCTGGAGAACAGCTACAGCAAGCTCAGCAGGTCCTTGGTACGTCGTGTCACTTTACAGCGCGCTGTGCACCTTCGGAGGATGGCGTGTTTTGAAAGGGATGAAGCTTGTGTAGTGTCTTAGAGGAGAACTTCATGTGCATCTTATAAACACGAGGAACTCCTTCCATAAAATGGAAAGGGACAAGGTTTTCAAATTAAAAACGTGCGACCCATGTGCAGAATCAAGGCGTCCTCCGCCTTACTATTAATCAGCTCTTAACTCAGACATTCTGGGAAATGAGCAAGTTGTGTAAGGAGTGATCTTACTACCGGGGAGGTGATGGGTAATGAACCGGACAGATGGATCACGTGGTACAAGAAGAGGTGGGAAACTGCATGTGGTAAGAACAGAATACTGGCCCTTGACGGAGGGGGAGTGCTCTGGCTAGAGTTGAGTGTAGATGCACGTGTGCTAGAGCATGCACTAGGACAGTGAGAGTGTCAGAGTGAAGGCTTTGCTCTCCTTTGTACTGTGGTCATCAGTGAGGCCCCTGTGGAGCTGTGCAGGCCTCCCTAAGACTGCATTTCACGTGAAGCTGCTCGGTGCCTTTCTTGGCTCAGCTTCAAGTACAGGATTCCAGTGACATTTTGGACATGGAAGAGTTACTCGTTGAGTCAAATTATGAATTCAGAAGAGAGATCCACGGAATTTGATGTTTGATTTACCAGAACCAGAGTCTGTCTTTATAGAATATGGGTCATGTTTAGACTTAATATCCAGTAATAAGAAAGAACTGTGTCAGTTATCTTTGCTATGGTTTTTCAGTTGATTTTTCATGCTCATATTTGGGGGCCAAAGTTTTGGTTATATTAAAAATTTAATATATAATGTATGTGTATAAAATTTTACACTGAGTATTATTAATCACTTATGTATTACAGCGCATAAATAACATATCACCAGGGAACACAATTTCTAGAAGCAGTCCAAAATTGAGTGGTCATTCTCGTCAGCCTCTGGGTTGTGACAGGTATGTTCATACCTAATCATTTGTTAACTGGAGTCCTAGATCAAAGTTAAGAGGAAGGTGAATTTCCGTGAGCAAGTTAAAATAATGGAACATATTTTGGACACTAGTTTATATTTTCTATGATCTTACTTTAGAAGTCATAAAATGTAAACCAGATGAAAACTGTAAGTGCAAATGATTCAGAGGGCAGATTTACTTCCTTCTGATGTGATTTGGTTTTTTACATGCCTACTGTTACCTCATCCCTGATCCTTCTCTGATTCTTAGACTCTGTAAGAGAGGTTCATGATGTTACAGTGCAGGTGGTGCATGTTGTTTGAACTGTTGTCATGAGCTTTAGTATTTAATAAGTGAACATAATATTATGTGAGCTGTGTTGTGGAAGAGGAAGTTTCCAAAGTAGAAATCTGGCAGGTAAATATGATTTACCACTACCTTGAACAAATCACAGAGACATTCTAAATGCCAGAAGTTAGCCCTAATTTTTCTTTCTTTCTTTCCTCCTTCCTTCCTTCCTTCCTTTCTTTTGTCACTAAATAGAGAGGTATTCTTGAGACCCAGGAATGAACAGTTAAAGCTTGATTGCATATGTGCATGTGTGTGTACTCCTATGTCTAGTGTTTCCTAAGCAGCTGATTTTGTAGCAGGCAGAGTCTGAAAGTGGAGGTGAAGACATGAGCTAAAGCTTTCCTGTTCCATATCTTGCAGCTTTGTGATTCATGTTCCCGGTGATAGCAAATGACCAAGTTTGCAATTCAGGAAGGTCTTTTATCAAAGTTTATTGGTGATCACTTTAAGAAAGTAATATCCAGGTATAAGATCTTTTTACTGGTACTCATTTGTTAAATAAAAGCTTTTAATAGCTTATTGATTTTTTTAGGCAGCTGACCACTCTGTTACTGAGAAATACAGATTTTTAAAAATGTGTAAGTGTGATGCCTTTTTTTCTGACCTAATACTTAAGGTCACTTCTAGGGAAATAGTGGGGAATAATGCAGAATTATTTCAGAAATTTCATCATGATTTATTGTTGGAAGTGTAGCCTCCAGGAGTAGTCTCACGAGTACTGGACTAAGAGCTCCTGCAGAGTGTGTGCAAATGGATGGTGGCCTGGATCACCAGCACCTCCAAGTGAGAGGGGTGTAGCTTCATGTGCTCCTTATTTCAACATGAATGAGAGCCTAGCAGGTCCTTCACCAGTGTTCCTTCTGGGGGAGGGGTTAATATGATATGGGAAATTAACATCATATATATATGTTTTTGTTTGTTTGTTTTGAGACAGGGTCTCGCTAGGTAATTCACGTTGACCTTGTTCACTCTGTAGCATAGGCTGGTCTTGAACTTACAGTAGTCACCCTGTCTCAGCCTCCCGAGTGCTGGGATTATAGGCCTGTACCACTATGGTTGGCTAACATTTTATTTTCTTTTTTTACGTTAATGTATAAACCTTAGTGAAAGCATGTTGCATGTTGAATTTTATTGTTTGAGAAGCTTTACTTAATTTTATAATTTTTTTTGGTTTTGTGTCTGTTTTAAGAACTCTAAAAATGTAACTTATTTTGTAGTTTTACATAATTATAGTGAAAATCATAAGGACAGAAAAGAATGGTTTATTTTAAAAAGATATTGAAATTGGGCTGGAAAAAATCTTATCTGAACCTGTGTTTAATTTGCATATAGACTCTATATATCCAAGGTGATTCCTGAAATCACTGTCTCACTTCTGCTTTGTACCTTCTGAAAAATACAAACAGGTTTAGGAGAAGAGGCTGTGTACAGTGAAGACCTGCAACCGAAGTGTGGGACTTTGTGTACTACATTATGATGAGAGTGGTTCTCTTAAGCTCCTTACAGATTGACTTGGATTTAGTTTCAGAAGGAGAATTTCAGGCTGGGTGGGGTGGTGCACACGCACAGTCCCAGCATTAAGGAGGCTGAGGCAGGATGAGCACTGTGAGTTTTAGGCCAGTTTGGGCTACATACTGAGTTCAAGGCCAGTCTAGACTATGGAGTGAGACCCTGTCTCAAAAAAGAACTTAATAAATGTTGAAATAAGAGAAAAGTTTATATCCATACATGCACATGTGCAAAGTCTGTGTTCCCAGTACGTTATAGTGGGTGAACAGTAGAGAAAAGATAGAGGAGGGAGGAGGGAGAGAAAGAATGAGAATATGATGGCTAAATCATCTTTTCAGTTAATTTTAAACATTTTCTAATGGCACAGAAACATTTTTGTCTTCTCTGATTTGCCTTAAGATCACTCTTTCTCTTTTAAGCATGTCCTCTTTGTTCTCCATGGGTCAGGTATGCACAGGTTGTGATGGGGCAGAATCAGGTCCATAGTGGGTGCTGAGTAAGTCATAGCTGCTGTCATTTCAGTGTAAGCTTAAAACAGAAAAGCAAAAGGAAAATAGAAGCATGTGATTTCTTTGGATTTCCTTATTTTATGTGAATAACTCCTTTACTCATAAACTCTTGGTTTCACAAACAGAAGGGTCCGTAGGAGTGGGCAGTTCTAGGCACTGTGCCCTCTCTATGGAGTACATGGGCACCTCCAGGCTGTGTTGACACTGAGGAGCAGAAAACTCAGCCTAGCTCAAACCATTTGGGTAGTGCACCTTGCTCATCCACTCTCATTGTTACCATGTTGATGGTGGCCGACACCAGAAGGGCAGACCAGTTATCCCTCACTTTGTCCTGTGCAGCCTAACACAGTATAGTCTTCTTTTCTATGTCAACTCTTTGAGCATTTGGGGAGAAGCATCATTAAGACTTGAATATGCAGAATCTTTCTTGGTGTCTGAGGGGTTTGAGCCTCACCTCCTTACATGCCCTCCCCATTCATTCCTCAGCATCTCTTTCAAATAGAAATGTTCTCCAGGCACAGAGACACTATTCAGAATGTGGTCTGACCATATTGAAATGCAGAGGCTCCCAAGTTCTATGGGCATTTTTACTAAAACAATTTGGGGTTGCTTTATAGCTGGAGTATTCTTTTGAGTTAGGAAATAAGGTGATTTAAAACAAACAAACTGCATTCACTGTTTTACTTGAGTAATATTGCTGCATAGAATGAACTGCTGTCTCTGTGAACTTTCCTTTTCCCCTGAAGCTTAGTTCTGGAATACACTGTGGTTCTTGCCAGGTGAGCACAGTGTTTTTGACTCCATACCTATCTGTCACCTGTGTGTTCTTGAGAGCAGTCTCCTTTTCCCTTCCCAGGTCATCTCGCTCTTCCTATGTGGATGAGGACTGTGAATCCCTGGCCCTCTGTGATCCCATGCAGAGGATGAACTATGAGGTCGACAGCTTGCCCGAGAGCTGCTTTGACAGTGGCTTGTCCACCCTGAGAGATTCCAATGATTATGACTCAGAAATGGAGTTTAAGCCCCAGAGGGAGTTTCAGAGCTCGAGTGGAGTGCAGGAGAATTCTGGCGGTGATGCTTCTGACACAGATGTAAGCCCTGAAGCCACTGACCTCAGAGGCCTGCATTTCTCAAAGACTTCCACATGTCTGACTTGTGACTGTCATGAGAATCTCTGGTAGAGATCACAGGTGTGAAGCTTTAGCTGCAGATTTGCCGTACAGGCTTCTCTGCTCCACAACAGCACATACTATAGATTCAGATGCATAGTTTTCTTCTCTGGGATCCCTGAGTATATGTGTAATGAGACTGTGTTTTTGACTGCTGATTTTTTAAAACAGGTTCCCGATATAAAGGATGAAGAAACATATGGTAACGGAAGCACGGCTTCCATGGTAGCATGGACACCCCCCAGGTGTGTCAGCAAAGGCAGTGCTGTCACTTCCTCCAGGAGGCCCATCTCAGCTCTCTCATCTCAGGTAGGCAGCTCTGAAAGCACCATGGGCTCTGCTCACTTTGGGGGCTGGAGCAAACCGGCCCTGGCATGACTACCTGTTGTGGCTTTCCCCCCAGGAAGACAAGGAGGGCGAGAATCTCAAAGCTCCTAGGGCACAGAAGGTGTACAAGATTGTACTTGCTGGGGACGCTGCTGTGGGGAAGTCCAGCTTCCTCATGAGACTTTGCAAGAATGAATTCCGAGGAGATACAAGTGCCACTCTGGGTATGGCTCTCTTTTCTGTTGATAAGGGGAAGATGGCCTTCTTCAGCATAAATTCTTTTTTTTAGGGATTATGTACACAGATAAACATCTCTCTCTCTCTGTCAGTAGATGTGTGTGTATACCTTGTCTATAGAACAGCCTAATGGTTGCACAGGAAAACTTAAAAAAGGAGAGAGGTATCCACTTAGCTGGTCAGACCAGACAAAGCACCTCGAGATCCTGACACATTGAGGTCACTCATTTAGCCTGTGTTTCCTGATTCCTGCTTAGAGCCAGATACTGTTATACAGGTAAGGAGACAAGTGAAGAAAACCCACAGGAAATCCCAGCCTGTGAGGAGCTGACATCTCAGTGGAAAGGCATGGACAACTGGTTTGGAAAGAGGTGCAGCTTTGCATGGGGGACCATGGAACTCTCAAATAACGTGACAATACCAATGGCCAATTTGTCACTGGGGTCAAAATCAGCCAGATAGTCCCCTCCTGTTTTCCCCATCTCACAAAGCAATAGATATCTTCATTTCCTCAATTTCCATAATAATAAATAAAAAGAATTGAAGATAGGTAATTTATCACCTGTTTTTCTTCATGTGAAGATTTCTTATTTTGATAATCAGAAATGTTACAACAGATTGGTTCCTTCTTCACAATCATCAACTTTGTAAATTTATAGTTCTCTGATAAGATAAGAAAGCTGGAAGTTCCCTACGTTCACATCTACTTAATTCCTAAGGCTTCAGCATTTGGTTTGGTTGCTAGAGAGTATGACATTTTTAAACTTATATATACACATTATGTGTTTCACATACATGCTTGTGCATATATCTGTGTACATAAAAACATGTGGATATATATATTGACAATGTCTTAAGCATACACACATATATAAACACATAATGTGCACACATATGCCTTCATAAATACATTATACATATACACACACAGTCTTATCTGCATACTCACATATGCCCACATAAAGATGACTAACTTCATCTCTTAATCTGGAAAACAGGAGCTAGCCTTCCCTTCTCTTCCCTTCCCCAAGTCTGCTGAGCTACGCGTACTGCAGCTGCATACAGCTGTGTGGGCTAAGTCCTGCTGAGCATGTGGAAGTCACTCTCCTTGAAGGCTGTGTTCATTCTTTGCTGCTGCACTGGACTTTGAGTTATTGGCTTTTCTCTCGTCCAAGATGACTGGAAAGTAACAAGCTAATGGAATTGCTTACATCATGTTCTCTACTTTCATGTTTCTTTCAGGCGTTGATTTCCAGATGAAAACTCTCATTGTAGATGGAGAGCAAACTGTTCTGCAGCTTTGGGATACCGCAGGGCAGGAGAGGCAAGTGTTTACAGAGTTCTTTGGGTTCTGCTTAGGTTTATGAGGACAAGTCTTATGTAATGCTTGGTGTTCTTTATACTCAGAGTATGAACATGCCATGTAACCACACAAAACTGTTTTGTAATCTCATAAATGCTTGCTTTTTTCCACATTTGTGTATGGTGAGAAGCGGGTCAAAAGCTGCTGTTAAGGTGGGGTGAAGAGGGTGCACTTTCCGGACAAGAGAAAGTTAGTGAGGAGCAGTCCTAGAAGCAGTGACGCTGAGGGGCTGCTGAAGTGTGCATCCGCAGATGTTGGAAAGGAGAGCCTGTCAGCTCCCCTCAGCTTAAGAGCAGAGACACCGACCTCACAGCAGAATCACATCCAGGGATGAGACCTCCTGCTACCTCCTTGGGGCACAGAATCTACTCAGTTGTTCAGACAGTAAATATTGGTGCCTCCCTCTGTATCAGGCACTGTTTAGCCTGCTGAGCTTCAGTGGTGAAAGCACAGACACAAATGCCTCCCTCCAGAGAGCTGCTGGTCTCAAGCAGACTGAAGTTCCAACATTTTAAAGACATCTGTGGTTGACATGGCCCTAGTTAAAATGGCTATGAAAAGTATCACGGTTGGTGTAGAGTGAGGGTTTGTGCACACTGAGGTGTTCTCTGCCCCACTGCGACCTCACTCGTGGATGCAAAGCTCTGACACATGGTGGCGGCCTATGTTCTTCTGTCCATGGTAAATCTTTGAGTGACCCTTCTTCTGCATCTCCTCCAATCCTCTTCTGAGCTGCCCATGGGTTCTGGTAGTTTCTTGTTGAGCTTGAAGTAGTTTAAAGTTATGCTTACACTGTGGTTTTGGGGTTTGTAGACATGCTTGGGACTGTTTAGGTGGAGAAAGCAACTGGCTTTTCTAAGTCACCCAGATTTTTATCCCATTCCTTGACTGGGTCGTCTGAGGCCTTGGTGAGGGCTGTTTCACAGTAGTGTGCTGTCAGAGGCTTCTCAGCTGAGGCAGAATACAGCGAAGAAAGGTGAGCATGGGGGGTTGCAGCATGAGGTGGCACCCAACTGGCGAGTGACTGCATGCTGTTCTCCTTCCAGATTCAGAAGTATCGCCAAGTCTTACTTCAGAAAAGCAGGCGGTGTTCTGCTGCTGTACGATGTCACCTGCGAGAGAAGCTTTCTTAACGTGCGAGAATGGATAGACATGATTGAGGTGAGGAGGCGCAACGAGAATCAGGGGTGACCCGGAGGGGCTGCTGACTGCCTTGGAAAATGCTGCTTGCTGCTCTGTGTTGGCATGAACATGACTAGAAGCCAGTGGTGCGAATTAGCAGGAGCAGTGCTTCTCGTGGTGCTAGGCAGAGCTGCGCTCATCCTTGGAAGTCACACAAGGGGCCTAGGCTGAGGTCACAGCCAAGGGTAGCTTCTGGGTTCTCCTGGGTAAGATCAGACCTCAGGCAGTAAAGTGAAGGTGCAGGAATCTGGCAGGCTTGTGGACCAGGTGGTGGCCTGGTGGGGCGTGGTCAGCTGTGGGAGGGGCTTCCCTGCGCCAGCAGCACAGCCTGGGTGGAGCAGCACCTGGAGGCCAGCGCATGCTGAGGCCCAGATGCCACACAGCTGTCTTCCCAGCCATCTTCTGGTCTTGGCGCATGATCTCCATACATTACTTGATCCCTCTGCAATGGTGGTTGGCATTTTTAACACGTGGGCTATCAGCTGTGGTTAAGTAGGATGCTTTCATATCATTTGGTTTCATGGAAAACAGTTTGAAATACAGGAAATCAGATGACCGCATTTAGTGTGCTACCAGCTGTGATAAATCCATACAGAAGTATAGTTCACAGCATGATGCAGAGTCCGCCTTGAGAAGTCAACCAGCAGACAGGAAGACTTTTCAGACAGGAGTATTTTTGACAATATTAAGCAGACCCAAAGTGCTGTAGTGGCTAGGCACAACGGATTCCCAGATGATCTCAAGGTAGCCTCTGGAAGTAACTCTGGGGGTAACGTTCTCTAACTAATGTAATAAGAGAAATGAGAAAATGAAATGACCATTCACAGTAAGATTTCAGTGATGATAAATAGGTCCTTTATTACCAAAATATAAAGATCTTTATAAATACAATGAAACTGTATCACATTTTAAATACTTTTATTTTAAAAATTTCTCATGTTACTTCATCTCTCTAACATCTGAGAAAGGAGGTTCAAAGTGTTACAAAGAGAAACCCATGGGGCAGAAGTATGTGGCACTGTAGTGTTTTGGATTGGGGTAGAACTAGTGCCTCCCAAGCCTTTGATAAAAAGAGAGGAACCCCAGGGTTCTGTTCCTCCTGCTGGAGAGGTGTCTTCTCAAAAGTCGTAGTGTACTGCCTCTGGATTTGAGCCCCAGGACCTCAAAAATGAAAAAGCTATTTTGAGTTTCTGCTTCAAACACGTACTCTTCTGGGTGTTGGAGATTTACCTACCACTACAATGAAGTGCTGTGTCCTCTGAAGCTTGTGGTCTAGTGGAGGAAATGTCTAGTGACAGCAGACAACAAACATAAAGACAGGATAAACATTGGAGAAGCAAAAGGAAGGCAGGCATAGGAGCTGTGAGGAAGGAGCAGCCTGCAGCTTCTCCAGAAGGCCACGTTTGTTCAGGGAGGCTGGACGGAGGTGTCAGGCTCCCGCTGTGTGACCTTGGGAGGCCTTTTAGGTGCTCAGCACTAGTAAGTACCTGGCCCTAATGTCACCCGGAAGCTTGGGTTTGAGCACAGCACTGGAGGGAGCAGCAGGCTTTGGGGTCGGCTTTGCTCCCTTCTCCCTTTGCTTTCGCTTCCTTCTGAGGCCTTTAGTAAAGAGCACTTTCAGAAGAGAAAGGAAGTCAGATATGATTTTATTTTGAGGCTCAGGTCTTGGTCTTGCATTGGGTGCATCATCAACTGAGCAAGCACCCAGAGTCCCTCGTGTGGATGGGGAGTGTGGGGGCGCTGCTTTCTTGATTGGGAAGTAGAGGCTTGTTTTTCTACGTGGGCTGGTCGTCTTTTATCCTTGTCATTGCTTGCCTAGGTGGGATGTGCCTTTTAACCCATAGCGTCTTGTAGATGAGGACACTGAGGTAGAAACTTGGAGAGACTGATCGCACACCTCCAGTGAAGGCCAGCTCTGCAGTCCTCCCCGACCCCAAGTACCATTATCCCTGCCCTGGTGCATGCCGGGATAGTGCATTTTGCATATGTTGATCTGGGAAATCTAGCCCTAGAAGCTATTACTTTGAGGCGTTAGTAGTTGATTTTTTTTCTTATGAGAAAACTGTTGACCTTTTAGGACTTTCAAATTTTGTTTTTGTTGTAATCAAGAGAACAGTGAGTGTAGAACTTTGAAACTGCAGTCTCATTCTGTGATAGCTGAAGAATTGCTTGGGTTTTGCACCTAGGTTAAGGAAATTGACCTGAAATCAGCATTGCTTGAAGTGAGAATTGTAGAAAATTGTGTAGCCACTCTAGCCCAATATGCTGTTGTGCTTAGCCTTTTAAGTTGCTGTTGGTTTGCAGTGCTCTGTGTGCTAGCCACAGATGATTAGCAGATGCCTATTTTTTAAAAAAAATTTTTTACTTACTTAAAGAAATAAAACAAAATACAAAAAAGTAATACAGAATTCAAAAAATAACATTAAGAAATCACTAGTGTCGTCTTAGAAATGGTTGACAATCCAAGTTACAAAATCAAAGCATAAAAAGTGGGTAGACACTCAGATATTGACAGTGCAAACCATTCTGTTCCATGATCCAACAAAAATTGAGTAATATGGTCATCTATCTTACATACTTACACATACAGTTATGTCCTTTAGGGTACTTTCCTTCCCTTTCATTTTTACAATATGCATTATACATTTTGGATCTTAGTATCCTTTCAGTTTTTATTATTTTTTACAGTAGAGAGACAGTGTGATATTTACTCATGTGAGTCTTGTTTATTTCACTTATGAGGATAGTCTCCAGTTGCATCCATTTACCTGTAAAGGCCTCAAGATCATCCTTTTTATAGCTGAGTAATATTCCATTGTATAAAAATACCATGTCTTTTTCATCCACTCTGCAGTTGATGGGCATTTTGGTTGTTTCCAAGATTTAGCTATTGCAAATTGTGCTGCTATGAACATGGGTGCACATATATCACTGTGATATGACTTTTTCAATTTTTCTGGGAAACTACCCAGGAGGGGAATAGCTGGACTGAACGGGGCTTCCAATCCTAGTTTGTTGAGGAATCTCCATACTGATTTCCAAAGTGGCTGCACCATTCTATACTGCCACCAACCATGGAGAAGTGTTAGTTTTTCCCCACAGCCTCGTCAATATTTATTATCATTTGATTTCTCGATGGCAGCCATTCTTTCCGGGCTGAGTTGAAATCTCAGTGTTGTTTTAATTTGCATTTCTCAAATGACTTGTGATGGTGAGCATTTCTTCATGTATTTATTTGCCATTTGTGTATCTTCCTCTGAGAACTGTGTGTTCATCTCAGATGTCCATTTTTGGAGAGGGTCTTTGAATTTGGGGGCTTGATGACTTTCAATTCTTTATATGTTCTGGATATAAGTCTGTTGTCTGAGGGCCTGTTAGCTAAAATTCTTTCCCAATCTGTGGGTTTTCTTTACTTTGTTGGTGATTTCTTTGGAAGTGCAAAACTTTTTAATAATATGAGATCCCAGTTGTTGATTCTTTGAATTATCTCCCATGTGGCTTGCATTTTGTTCATGAATTCTCTGCCTACCCCTGTGTCTCCAAGTTTTCTACCTACCTTGTCTTTCAGTAGATTTAGTGTTTCTGTTTTAATATTTGGGTCTTTGATCCATTTTGACTTTAGTGCATGGTGATAGGCATGCATCTAGTTTTAGTCTTTAGCATGTGCAAAGCCAATTTTTCCAACACCATTTATTAAAGAGGCTATCTTTTCTCCAGTGGACATGTTTAGCCCTTTTGTCAAATATAAGGTGGCTAAGTGTCTTTATAATTGTGTTTTCATCTTCTAATCTGTTCCATTGATCCTCAGATCTATTTCTTTGCCAGTACCACACTGATTTTATCACTGTGGCTTTGTAGTATAGTTTCAAGTCAAGAATTGAGATGCCTCCTGTCTTGCCTTTGTTGCCCAGAATGCCTTTGCTATTCTAGGTTTATTTGGTTTCCAAATGATTTTAGGAATATTTTCTCTAGATCTGTGAGATATGTTAATATTTTAATTGGAATTGCATTGAATCTGTATAACAGTTTTGGGAGTATGGCCATTTCACAATGTTAATTCTTCCTAGCCAAGAGCAAGGAATATCCTTCCATTTTCTAATGCCTTCTTCAATCTCCTTTTTTGAGTAGTATAATTTTCAGTATATAGGTCTTTTACATCCTTGGTTAGGTTGATTGTAGAAAATATTTCATCTTTTTAGATGCTATTGTGAAAGGCAATATTTCCATAATTTCTCTCTCAGGGAGTTTTTTGTTTGTGTACAGGAATGCTATTGATTTTTGAGTGTTTACTTTGTATCTGGCTATGCTGCTGAATTTGTTTATTACCTCTAGTGGTCTTTCAATGGAGTTTTTGGGGTCTTCTATGTAAAGTATCATGTCATCTGCAAATAATGATAATTTAACTTCTTCTTTTCCTATCTGTATTTCTTTTGTTTCTCTTGTCTAATTGCTTTGGCTAATATTTCCAGCTTCATAGTGAATAGGAGTGGTGATAGTGGACATCTTTGTCTTGTTCCTGATTTTAGAGTGAAGGCTTTCAGTTTGTGTCCATTTAGTATAAAGTTAGCTTTTGGTTTGTCATAAATAACCTTTATGAAATTGAGGCAGATACCATCTATTCCGAGATTCTATAGGGTTTTTATCATGAACAGGTGTTGAACTTTATCAAAAGCGTTTTCTGTGTCTATTGAAATGATCATGTGATTTTTACTTTTAGCTCTGTTGATGTGGTATATTACATTTATTGATTTGTGTATGTTAAGCCATCCCTGTATTCCTGGAATAAATCCCACTTGTTTGTGATGTACAATCTTCATGATAATTTGCTGCATTCTATTTGCCAATATTTTATTGAGAATTTTTGCATCAATGTTCATTAGTGACATTGGCCTGTAGTTCTCCTTTTTGGCTGGGTCTTTCTCTGGTTTTTGTGTCAGTGTGATACTTGGCCTCCAGGAATGAGATAGGAAGGGTTGCTTCTCTTTCAATTTCATTGAATAGTTTAAGGAGTATTGGCATCAGATCTTCTCTAAATTTCTTATAGAATTCAGCTGTGAATCCATCAGGCTCTAAGCTTTTCTTTGTTGGTAAGTTTTTAATCACATTTTCAATTTCAGTAGCTGATATTGGATTATTCAAAATTGTTGTATCTTCTTGATTGAGCCTTGGTAGTTCATATGTTTTTAGAAATCTGTCATTTCTTCTATGTTTTCCACCCTATGTGAGTAGAGATTTTCAAAATAGGTGTTCATGATCTTTTGAATTTCCTTAAGATCTATAGTAATTTCCCTCTTTTCAGTCCTAATTGTGTGAACTTGAGTGTTTCTTTTTATTCATAAGGTTGGCCAGGGGTTTATCAATTTGTTGATAACCAGCTCTTTGATTTGTTAATTCTTTGTATTTTTAAAGTTTCAATTGCATTAATTTCTGCTCTGATCTTTACAATTTCCTCTCTTCTATGAGCTTTGGATTTGACTTGCTGTTTTTTTTTTTTTAGAAGCTTCAGGTGTAACAGTAGGTTGTTTATTTGTGCTCATTCTGTTTTCTTAATGTGACCATTTATTGCTATATATTTGCCTCTTAGGACTGCTTTCATTGCATCCCACAGGGTATGGTATATTGTATCTGCATTTTCATTGAATTGTAGGTATTGTTTTATTTCTTCTTTAATTTCACCTGTAACCCAGTGGTTGTTCAGAAGGTTGTTATTTAATTTCCACGTATTTATGCAGATTTTGCAATTTCTTTTGCCATTGAATTCCAGTTTCAGTGCACTGTGGTCAGATATTATGCATGGAATAATTTCAGTCCCTTTTCATGTACTTAAGAATGTTTTATGGGTTAGTATATGGTCTCTTTTGGAGAATGTCCCATGTGCAGCTGAGAAGAATGTATATTCTGATGTGGTTCGCTGGAACACTGTGTAAATATCCACTAAGTCAGTATGCTCACAGGTATGATTCAGTTCTGTTATTCCTTTGTTGACTTTTTGTCTAGTTGATCTATTTCTCTGTGACAGTGGGGTGTTAAGGTCCCCTATTAAAACTGTGTTCTTGGTTTGGTTTTTCATGTCCGTTAGTATTTGTCTTATATAGTTGGTGCTCCTGTATTTGGTGCATATATATTTATAATTGTTAGTTCTTCCTCATGAAGTTTTCAACTAACAAGTATGTAGTGGCCTTCTTTATCTTTTTTAATCATTTTAGGCTTGAAGTTCACTTTGTCTGCAAACAGAATAGCTACTCCTGCTTTTTCTGGGTTCCTATTACATGGAATACTGTTTTCCATTCTTTAACTTTTAATCTATAGGTTTTTCTTTAGAGTCAGATGTGTTTCTTGTATACAGCATATTGTGGGATCCTGTTTCTTGATTTATTTTGCCAACCTGTTTCTTTTGATAGGTGAATTGAGGCCATTTACATTTATGGATATAACTTATGTACTGGCTTAACTTTGTCATATTATGTTCCTGTTGTTTGTTTTCTGCTTTTCTCCCTTGTTTAATTTCTTGCCCTGCCTGATGGTTTCTTTATGTTGTTGTTCTGGAGATTGAAGTCATTTTTATCTCTTTATAGCATGTCTTTTAGTACTCTTTCTAGGGTTAGTTTGGTAGATATGAATTTCTTCTTTATTATGTTGTTCTTTATCATGGAAGTATCTTGTTTCTCCATTAAAGGAAAGACAATTTTTTTCTGGGTATAACAGTCTGGGATGAAAGTTTGTTTTCTTTTAGGGCTTGAATTGCTTTACTCCTAGCTCATCTTAACTTGAAGGTCTGCACTGAAAAGTCTGCCGTAATTCTAATGGGCTTTCCTTGTTAGATGAGTTGTGTCTTCTCTCTAACAGCTTTTAGTATTCTGTTTTTATGTTGTAGGTCTGGGATCTTAATTATTATATATCTGGGTGTAGATTAATGTTGGTTGTGATTTTTTGGCATTCCATATGCTTCATTTATTTGTATATAAGATTTTTTCCCCATGTTTGGGGAAATTTTCTATTACTTCTGTGAATATTTTACTGATCTATGTTGATTTCTGCATCTTCATTGATGCCTATTAGTCTTATATTGTTTTTCTTGGCATCATCTTGAAGCTGCTGGATGGATTGACATTTCATGCTGTTTTGTTTTTAAAACTTCTATCCTTTCATGATCCCTGTCTGTGATCCTGTCCTCAAGGTCTGAAATTCTATCCCCAGCTTCATTTAAATGGTTTTGCCAGGTTTCAACAGAATTTTTTTTCCCTTTTTTCTGGTACCAGGGATTGAACTCACGACTGCCTGCTTGCAAGGCAGGTGCTTATGCCGCTGAGCTAAATCCCCAGCCCCTTCAATAGAATTTTTTATTTCTTGGATATCTCTTTGAATTTGTTTTATGAATTCTGCATGTTTTCTGTATTGTTCATTCAAGGTTCAATTTCCCATGCTCCTGTATTTTTTTTAATCTATTTCTTCTCTAGCTATGCTGAGCAACTCGTTTACTAAGGTTATTATTTCTGTCTTTACATGAGAAATTATTTCTAATTTGATTTTCTCTACAGCCTCATGGATTTGTTTCTTTATTTCATTTGCTATCTTTTCAGAGATTTCTGTTATATGACTTAAGTTCTCTATTTCACCTGTTCTTGCTCCTGATGGACTAGATATTTGAGATTGCATTTTGCTTTTTTGTTTTGTCATTTTCACCTTTTGGGCTAATACTTGGTTTCTCAACCCCAGTAGTCACAACTGTCAGTAGTATGTCCTACTGACATACTTAGGGTCCTACTGTGTGGTTGATGTTTGTCTGATTATTGAGTACCACAATGAAGAGGAGGGCCAGTCACCTGAATTTCTCCTGCTGGGCCTGTTGGGAGAGTCCTATATTCTTCCTGGGCTCACTAGCCTAGGACTATTGATGTAAGTAAACTCTTAGTTCCTGCTGTTGCTATGTCTTCAGGTTTATTACAGGTGACCAGCTCTCCTATCTGTAGTGTTTGTCTCAGCTGAGACCCTACTGTGTCACTGGGTATCTCATAAGCCCTTTTAATTTTCTCCAAGTTGGGGTAGCCCTTATTGGCACACTCCTCAACCTGCCTGATGTTCTCTATGTGGAGGAAGGAGTCACCTAATCCCTTGCCAAGCTCTCCAAGGTGTTAAAGCTGGAGGGAACTTTGCTACTGCTCCTATTTAGCCTCTGAAGACCTCCATTTTAGGGGCAAACTCTTCATAGTGATTGGAGCCTGCTGAGGCCTTCTGTTTGGGTGAGGGGCTACTGAGTCTCCCATCAATGAAGTACAGTTAATCTGCTGCAGTTCAAGGTTCTGGGAGGGGGAATGGGAGCTGAGCATCAACAGCAGTACTTGGTCTGGGGAGGAGATGAGGAGATGGGGAGGGTCGCTGAGGGCAGTGGGCCAGGATGGCATTCCTCTGGGCTGGTAGGAGCACACAGGAAAAGTGTGGTGGCACAGGTGCAAGGTTCAAGGGTGGCATGGCATTCCTCTGGGCTGGTGGGGTGCACAGGAAAAGCCAGATCCCTAATTCTTTTGCTGTAAAGCCAGTTATTCCCAGTTCCTTTTACCCTGTTCATTAATGCAAGGATGGAACATTGTGTAACAGAGGATCACAGGGTTAGTGGACATGGGCCCTGGTTCTTACATGGTCTTATTAACCTCTCTGAATTTAGTTTTCTCACCTCTAAGTAGGAAAAAAAATATATGACTGTGTTTGTGAATATTTTGGGGTTTAAAGATAATATCTTAAATGTCACATAAATACATGTAATATTACAATTGGTTGAAAGACTTGGACAGTGATAATAAATCCTCAGTTTGTGCCTCTGAAATAGGGCTTTCATTGATTATGAATGCAAGGAAAGTGTGTTTACAGTTACACACTTTGACTCGCCAGACTTTGCATCGTTTGACACACAGGGGCCCCTGGATTGGTAGCTACTGCTGCTATTGCCATCATCATTGTTGTCACTGTAATTTGTCTAGTGTTTGATCCATGCCCAATTTTTCTCTTCGTGTTAGGATGCATCTCCTGAGAGTGTTCCTATCATGCTGGTTGGAAACAAGTCTGATATGCGTGACACTGCTACTTTAGAGGGACGGAAATGTGTGCCAGGGCATTTTGGAGAAAAACTGGCCATGGTAAGAACAAGGGGTCCAAGATGGGAGAGGAGGGAGGGGCTGAGTGGATCTGGAATCAACAGTCTGCACTTTTAGCTTCCTGTGATTAAGAGGCTATCTGGCCACCCTCACCCTGTTTCAGGGGACTGAGTCCTGCTCTCCTTGTAGAGCTCACACTGCCTGCCTGCTGCACAGCAGATGTAGGGTGTAAGCGAGGAACAAGTCTCTCAGGAAGGGACAGCGGCTGCATCATCAGTTTATGCACTGAGTATCCTTGACAGAGATGAGCTGGAGTCATCTTGTCGTCTTTGCTCTTGTCCTCTCACACAGTTCTGGGAAACCTCTCCTAGCCATGAAACCTTGTATTTTGAAAAGGTAGAGTTGGTTTCCAAGGGTTACCATGCCAAGGGGCAGGAGATGGAATAGTGCCTCATCAGAGCAAAGGGACTTAGAAGCCATTTTTATATTATTTTCAAAGATTTGTACTTAGTTGGAATTTGTGCTTAGTTGGAATAGTTGTTCTAAGGTGGAGTACCTTTTTGGTTATGAGTTTTTATGTGGGGTTAAGTTTATTCCTGCGTAGACTGCTACTGCAGACAGTGCTTCTCTACTGTCACGGGCACTGGGATAGCATGTTCTGCGACCCTTGCATGACTCTACTGTGAGGAGTTCAGATGCACCTTGCTGTACCACACAGATTTAACGTTGATGTTGGTGTTGGTGTCAGCACCAGGAAAGGACTTGCCGGCAGATGAACAGAGCTTTAAAAATGAAGTTTCATGTTACTGCCATTTTTTTTCACTTTTGCTGTCTTAAGCTGGAAAATTTTGTTTTAAATTCTAGAACTACAAAACAAATGTGAAAAAATTGAAACTGTTAAATGCAGGGAGATTCATTCAACACATGCTTAGTTGTATCCACTGTGTGACAAACACTTCTTTACATGCTGAGCAAAGACCAGAGAAAAAGTGACGGGTCCTTGTCATTGCAGAGTTCACTGCCTGGGGGAGACAGATACTCAGGGTGTGCCCTCCCAGAGCTGGTAGTTCTTGGCCACCTGCGAGTTTTACTGCTGCTCAGAGTTTACAAGATTTGCTTCCTAAGCATTAAGACTGATTTTGTCAGACTGGCAAAACCACTGTGGAAATCAGGGTGGAGATTCCTCAAAATATAGGATTGGTGGTCCCATTCAACCCAGCTATTCCGCTTCTGGGTATCTTCCCAAAAGTATTAAAAACATCATACCTCAGTAATATATATGCACCCATGTTTAAAGCAGCACAATTTGTAATAGCCAAATCTTGGAAACAGCATAAATGCCCATCAACTGCAGAATGGATAAAAAAATCTGGTATTTTTATACAATGGCGTTTTACTCAGCTATAAGAAAGAATAAACTTGAGGCTTTTGTAGGTAAAGGGATGCAATTTGAGACTATACCCATAAGTGAAATAAATCAGACTCATATGTGTAAATATCATATTTTTCTAGTGTGAAAAAATGAAAGAGTAAATAAGTTCCAAAATATACAATAGATATTGTGAAATTGAAGGGGAAAGAACGTGCTTAAAAGGAAAGAACAATTGGGATGGGGAAAAGAGAAAAGAAAGAAAAAGATTATATGTATATATGTATACATATATAGATAGATAGATAACTAACTATACCACAAAGATAGATAACTGTTCTACTAATCTCTTTACTTCATCAAAATGAAGTTTATGTTTTCTTTGTTTGATTATTTTAGTTCTATGCCTAAATATTGTAATTTGAACAACTACTATTATAACAATATGCAATAAATTAACTAGTGTTAATTTTTAATTTTTTTGAAATTCTCTATTATTGTTATCCTTTGTTTTTTAAAAGGACAGCCTAACGAATGTTTCCACAACAAAAAACAAAACAAAAAGACTAATTTTGTCATCAAGGCATGAAACAAGGGTGTATCAGATCCATGTTTATTCTTTACTGTATTTCTACTGTTGAGTTATTAATTTTAATTTTATGAGTTTTATTATATTAAATAATGAGTATGTACCAGGAAAAATATTGCAAAAATGAAGTATTGAATTTTTAATGTTATTTATAAAACTTCAAAATTGGTTGGTATACTAAATCTAAAAAGGAGCAACACAAATAAATTCTTATATGAGTATCTTGGTTACTTTTCTCTTGTTGCTAGGACAAAATACCTGACACCCAAAGTTAAAAGGAGGAAAGGTTTATTTAGCTCACAGTTCGCATAGGTTTCAGTCGAAGGCAGGATGGCACATGGCAGAGGGGCAACAGTTCATGGTGGTGGAAGGCAGCAAAGACATCAAGAGAAAAAGGAGACAAGCCTCTTTCTACCCATCCAGACTGCTGGGATTAGGCTGGTGCCAATCCAATCAGTGGGCTGATCCAGCGATCACCCTCCCTTAATCCCAATATTGCACTAGAAATTGATCAATCTAGATTCAGTGACCTCTGGAAAAAAACCCACTTCAAAGTGCATGAGGCTTTCGGGGGACATCTAGACGCAAACCGTAACAATGAACCACAATCAAAATACCAACAACACTTTTCCAAAAAAATTTTTTTATTTCAGTTATCACGCCTAAGGCAGTCTGTACATGTGACAACAGCAAATTCTGTATACATCTATTACTTACACTGACAGCACATGTGTTTTGCTCTCCTGATTTTTTTAGGACATACTTGACATCTCACTGGTTTTGCTGTTTATATTACACAGTGTGTAGTTAACAAAAACATAAAATATCGATAAAGTATTCTTACTATATATTGTGTACTTAGAATAAACATCAACCTTTTCATATCAGCTGTATACTTGCTTACAAAACCTAAAAAGATAACATAAAAAATAAATTCCTGTATGAATTACATTGAAACTATTAGTACGATTGTGCCAGAAAAGTAAGCTTTGCTTCAACCGTCACACCCACGGCAGTCTTCATACAGACAACTGCATGTTCTGTGCATGTATCTCATACTGACAGCACGTGTACTTAACTTTCGTCTCCTATGGGGCAATCTTACCACCTCTGTCCTCTTTCTCTTTTGTTAGGAGCTTCCTAGTACATTGTACAACATGCACTTAGCAGGGAAATAAGAAACCAATAAAATACAGTATCAGATATGTAATTAGTACTTAGAATAGACAGCAACATTTTCACATCAGCTGTTTACTTGTTTAATGAAGCTAAAAATTAACATTAAAAATAAAAACCTATGTGAACTGTTATGTAAATAAAAAGTCTCCCGTAGAAATAAGCTTCAACTGTCACACCCAAGTCTTCAAACCTGACAACTGCATGTCCCATGATCAAGTATCACTTACACAGGTATAACATATGGTTTGTTGTCCTGTACTTTCTGGTGGGGCACAGTTGACATTTTTTTTGTTACCCTAGTTTCATAACAGGCCTTTGTGATGTGGTATTTGCCTGTTCACCTGTCAGCTCACCAGTGTGTTCCACAAAAATATTTTTGTATAGTTCCCTGTGCAGAAACATTTTGTTTTTCCTCTCCTGTAAATGATCTTGTATGAGCTCCAGTTCCAGGCCTCTAAGAAAATTTCTCTATGGTATTTTGCACTTGTTACTTTCTTTGTAAACTGTCAAACTATTTATACCAAAATTTTTAGGATCAAGGAAAGCAAAATTATTGGCCAATGCTTTGTGTTTCAAATGACCTCATAGTTTCTGCATAATTCATCAGTCCCATCTGCTCCATCTTGGGTCCTGTTGTAGAAAGTTTTTATCTCAGGCTTCCATTTTGTTAAGGTTTCCCTATCAGTATTTCCATCATGGTGCAAGTTTGACATCAGCAGCACCAGTTTATTTTACGTTGTTATTTATGAGGCCAATGTTATATCTCTTTGAAATTCAAAGTTTGTGCTATATAGTTTTCTATTTTGAAATTGCAGTATTTCATTTGGAATTTCTGCTTTGTTCCTGGGTACAGTTCATGCATTGGTCAACTTGTGCTGTGTTAGCAAATATAACATCAATTGAAGTTGATAAGCCAGTTGTTGAATGTCATATGCTGATTAATTTGGGAGATGAAAGCAACAAGTCTGTTCACAACATCATTTGGTTTATTACTATATGAATAAGGACCTTAGGACAAGTCCCAGTATCTAAATTTAAAGCATAATAAGTGTTTACGTCTACAAGGGGATACATTTTTATGCCATATTTTGACTCACTGCTTTTCACCAGTCTTTGACATTCCTGCAATCACCATCAGAAATCCCTGCTAAGTATAACAGTCCTGCGAATGCTTGTAGTTAACTAGTCAGGTGTTATAATAAATAAATTTTTGAATATGGCTATTGGGGCACACAGAACATTTTACTTGCATTTCAGCCTTTGTGTATTTCATAGCATTTTACAGCATTTTGTTTGTTTAAATTTCCAACACTAAATGACAATGCTGATGTTCTGTTCAGTACCTTTCACCCTGTCAAGACCCTCACTGTATTTTTGGACATAGTTTTAACATTGGATCACTCCATTTGGTTCCATGACCATTTAACAACATTTTGACTAGTTAAATATGGAACTAATATTGTTGTTTTCTTTATCTCAAAGAGGTCTGCATTCCTTGTGTCTGTGTCAGTTATTCTCACTCCATGTCACTGTCATAGGAACTTTGGCTCACGTAGATAACATCACAGTCATCATCATCATCATCATCATCATCACTGTCTCATCCCACGCTACTTTCTGTTATGAAACAGCATGTATTTTACCATAACGGATCATCTTCATCATCCATGCATGAGTAATCTGATGATTCATTTTTGACCTCCTATAAAACTTGCAAATCCGGTTTTTTATGTACCACTGTACTAAATTGGGCTGTTTCTATCAGAAAAATGAAAAGAAAACTTTTTAAAAAGTAAGGCCTGAAGTGGTGTGAGACTGTTGAACCTTCTCTGATGCTTGAGTCAACATACACAAAACAGAGTTAGGTGGAACATAACATGGGTAAAAATCCCATTTTGACACTCCTGCACACGTGTGTACTTCTTGCTGTTTATAACACCAAGTCAGTAAATATGTAGATTGTTTCCCATATTCCTCAGGAAAAGTACAGAGATGCATGGCTGACCCCTGTTATGCTGAAGTATAAATGTACAGTAGAAAAGTAATGGCTGGACCCACTGGACCAGTGTTACATACCTGGGGCTAATGTAACCCTTGGTTTTCAACCTCCTCAAAGGCAGTCTCAGATCCACCCTGTAATGTCCTGAGTGTGAAAGCCTCAGCATAACTAGATATACTCATTTATTCTGTGGATTTGGGGGCATTTGGCTAAAGGCTCATTGTGGAGTCTTTTTCCCTCTGTGCCTACTCGAGAGCAACCATAAATCCTCTCTTGTCCCACAGAGGAACACTTGGCCCACGCCCAGGTCTGTAGTACATCCAGTTCTGTTCTATTAAGAGAAAGTGTCTTCAACTGGTTAGACAAAGACACACAAAAGTAACTCCAGCGATTATAACAGTTATTACGCACTGGGGAGATTTAAGACTGGAAATAGACTTTTCAGTGTTAGACATTAACTTCAAGGAAAAGTCAACAATTAAGCAAGAGACTGGTGAAGAGATTGGTGGAATTAGAGCATGGCCTAGGTAATCAAAGAGTAGGTACTGAAGTCCTGAAAGTCAGTGGGAATTCGGGACATTGCATAAACACAGGGAAGTGTAGGGTAAGTACAGCTTTATGAGGGAGGAGATATGGTGGGAGATAAAGCTGGAAGATTGGCCAAAGCTACATCAAGGAGGGCTTTGTTTTCCATGGAAAGTCTTTGAATATCACTTGAAGAGGTAGGGAGAGAGGCCCTGAAAGGCCCAAAGCAGAACAACATGATCATTGATCACATGCACAGTGTACCTCACTGCCGGAGGTTGGATGACACAGGAATACAGAATGTGCCCAGGTTTTAGCTGCCGAACCCTAAGAGGAAAATGACTGTGTGTGGAATAGGCCTTCGGTACTGCCAAAAGCAAACTTGGGAGGGGCGTCCCATCCCCAGCTGCTACTTCATCTATCTCCAAGTGAATAGAGAATGTTTGGTAGCATGTATATGATTGGTGGAAGCAGAATCTTAAAACGTGAGTCTGTAGGGGCTGGGGATTTAGCTCAGCGGCATAAGCGCCTGCCTTGCAAGCAGGCAGTCGTGAATTTGATCCCCGGTACTGATAAAAACGAAAAAGACAAAAACAAAACAAAACAAAACAAAAAAAAACCCTGTGAGTCTGTGCTTCTTTAACACAAAATAAAAATCCACTGAAAGGGACCGTTCCTAGTTTTACTGTGCGCAGATTTAAACTATTGAAACTAAATTGGATTTCTTAGCTATTAGTTACTCTTTCCATATTAAATAGAAAAATATTTTAATGTATTGGTTTTAATGACCTAAAAGTTCAAGGACCCCCGTGAACGGCCTGACTGAATCATGTGTCTCTTTTCTGCAGACCTACGGGGCGTTATTCTGTGAAACGAGTGCCAAAGATGGCTCCAATGTTGTGGAAGCTGTCCTCCATCTCGCCCGGTAAGGTTTCGCCTCGTGTGCAGAAAGCTTGATTTAGGGTTGAGTTTTCTTTTATTTTTTAAAGAGAAACAAATAATGAAACAGTTTCAAAACAGGTTAGGAGAGTTCCAATAATTAATACTTTGCATATTTTGTCTTCATAGCAGTTATTCCGAGTGAGACACAGGCATGAATTTTCATTTAACTAATGCATACATCAAGCATCTTGACCATAACATGGAGCCAGAGCAGACACTGGAACATGTGCGCTCTTTCCATCACGGAAACAGATGCGCATGGGTATTAGAGAAACTGATACGGCCGCCTGTTCACCATGAACACTTGCCAATGATCCTTACGGTAACAAAACAGGTGGCTCTGAGGTGCTGTCGTTTCTGTAACACGCTGCCATGACTGTATGGGTGGGTGGTCACCAGGAACCAGGTTTGTAAACTTCAGGAATTATGACAATTAAACTACCTATCATGACATTTTCCTGGGTAAAGGGAGAAAAAAACAGCAAAGCAAATTGTGTATCATGCCAGTTGGAATCACTCCATCAAAATTATTTCTAGGTAATTATTAAGCTAAGGCAGTGATGTTAATCATAGCATTTTGGGAGTACAGATTAGAATGAAAATTGTATCGTTCAAGGACTTAGAAGTAAATGCTCTTGCTTTAATCCTTGGGCTGCTTTTAGGACATGATGTCACCTGTCAGACTATGCTTGGTTTTTCTGCCATAAATGAAAAAAATGATGCTTTACTGGACTAAAAGGATAGTATAGCATCACTCACAGGAAAACAAAGCATTCATAAAATTCAGGACAATACCTAGTTAAAGAAAAAGTGAACACATGATTTTAGGCATGATTCTGTTTCTGACTGAGATTCTGCGAGAATCATTGTGATCGTTGACCTTTCCTGCTGGTGGACATTGAGAGTTGAACTGCTCGGCAGTGTTTGCAATGTGCTCTTCAGTTCATGACTTGGTGTCACAGGAGCAGGTGGACTGGACTCTGTTAGAAAGGCTTCTGTTAGGGCCCGGGGTGGGTGTCTTCTCTCCAGGAGCCAGGGAGGGAACAGGTCCTGAGGCTTCAGGTGTCCTGCCTGACTGGGGCCTGCGGTAGGGATTGGTGGGTGCTTAGGGCTCACCCTCGGCACCTGTATTTTCACCTTGAAGATACATGGGCACTTCGCTTTCCAGTGCTGAAAGTGTTCTTTGTCTTGACTTCGAGTGTAACCTACAATAGGTAGAAAAACAAAGACAAATAGTTAAACCTGTATAGATTCACCTGAATTTTTACTACACTTTTATTTTGTTGTTTTGTTTTTTGGCCTGTGATTAGTAGTAGACTCATGGAATTTTGTCACATTTGTCAAAAAGCATCTGAGTGTGTGATCCGGCCTGCAGATCAACAAGTTCGGAACTCCTGGAGGAGAAACGGGGATTAAATAAAAGACATAGGGGAGACAAAAAGAGACGAAGGCAAGTTGATGTTAACCCAATCAAGCCTCCGGTTTATTGAGAAAATAATCACACCTTTTATAGGCTAAGGGCGGGAGCTGGGACAGGAAGAGGTTAAACAGATGAATACAACAGGGTTACCATCACATCCGGATAAGTGACGTAAGCAGAAGAGGATTATGGTTAATGTAGGCAGGCGCAGTGCCCATAGGAGAGAGAGAGAGAGACATCTAGGCAGCAATGCCTGTCACTCGGCTCCCTACAAGTGTGGTGGTACACACCTATGATCCCAACTCTGGGAGACTGAGGCAGGAGGATCACAAGCTCCAGTCCAGCCTGAGCAACTTGGTGAAAAAAGTTACTGTACAACAAAACAGAATGAAATGGCTAAGGTTGTAGCCTAGTGTGATAGCCTTGGGTTCAGCTCTCAATACTGCAGTAAGTAAAATATTTTTAAAAAGAGTCAATTATGCCTTTTGTACTAGATCAGTAATGGGTACCACATGCTCCGGGCACGCCAGCTATTTTGGCCAAACAAGTATCTACGGAGAGGCTGGAGATTCAGTGAAGGGGTGTTTGCTTTCACTAAAGAGGGAGTACTTGTCCAGCTGGTCTGTTTTCACTCTTTCAAGTAGTTGCATTGCATGTCGTCCGTGTGGAGTTAGGAGCCCCTGGGGGAGGAGACGAAGCTGCAGCCCGGGATGGAGAGAACCCGCAGGCTGACCCCTGTTCCACAGGGCCGGTGCCGCCTCGCCGAGGCTGTGGAGAGTCACAGTACTGCACCCACGCAGCGCAGAGGACAGGGCACTGGTCAGGCCTTGGGCAAGTGGACTGTCCTTCATCGGGAGTCCCAAATCCAAAGTGCTCCACAGTTTGGAACTCTTTTGACACAGATATTGGTGGTCAGAAAGGTTTGAATTTTGCACTGTTTTTGATGTTGGATTTTTGGGTTGTGATAGTCAGCTGGTAAGTTCTATACATATATTCTAAAGTCCACAAAACCTCCGATTTTAAATCCCTTGTGGTACCAGCCATTTCAGTGAGAGATGCCTGAGCTATATGTAGTGACTGACCACGGCCGGGCACCACGGAAGACTGGTCAGAGCAGGATCCAAGTCTGTTCTCTTATCTACCCCAGACAGCTATGAAACCATCCATAAACTCCTGCCTTGCTTAAAGGGCCTTAAAATGAAGTAGAGGACTGAATAAAACGGTCTCTAAGTTCCTTTCCAGTAACAGTATGTGATTCTCTATATTGATAGCCCAACTCCACTGAATACTCCTATGCAGTGCTCATTTGTCTCATTAAAGTTAAATGGGTACAAAGTGCCCTGTTTCCTGTAGTGTGGAGTGGATTGTCTGTCTTATCTAATCTTGAGCTGCTGCCGCCCCCCTGCCATCTGCTCACAAGAGCCTGTTGGGTCAGCCAGGCTGCGTCTGTTTACAAGAAGTGCAGACACCAAAGCACCTGGTGTGCAAAGGCATTTTGATAAGAAGGGCACTTTGCTGGGTGGTGGTCAGGTCATAGTTACTTTTTAAGTTTTAGACAATGATATTGACACGCTTTTGTGAAGGCTTTGCTTTGTCACTGCATTATGGCCTAGTTTGCACCTCTACTAATATTAGTGATGTGTTGAATATTAAAATTATAAATAAAGCAAATATGTGATGACTGCTTTATTCTCTGCCTTCACATTTGCTTTGCAAAGTACTGAAGTCTTAAATGAAAAAGTTATGGTCTCCACAGGTAGAATAGTCTTTTAAAAAGTGTCACAGCCTTTAGAAAAGTGCACATTATCTAAAACGCTTAAGTCTTTGACTTACATCTCATGGCGTGATCTCAGCATGGTCCTCTCTACTCTTCTTAATGTCTGAAAACACAAACTACAAGGCTGTCTGAAATGGAATTTGATTTTCAAGGGTGGGCAATGTGTTTGGTTAATAGCCACTGCTTTTCTGTGTAAAACCTCTCAATCCCCGGTGGACTTTCGTCTGAAAGTGCTGTTTCCCTGTAGTGCAGGGAAGCCATTTGCCCCAACCACGGTCCTGTTGGGAGCAAATTTACATCACCAGGGCTACAGGATTTAACCTCTGTGCAGCAGTTCCAAGTCCAGTGAACACTGAATTAGTCAATGGCCTAAAACTAAATAGAAACTTGAAAAGTTCAGAGTGATGTATCAGCTGAAGGCAAGAACACTTTGAGTCAGTTATACTTGTTCTCTTTTTTGTATGTGATAATTGTGCATACTTTTAAATAATGCAATTAGCACATACTAGTTTTTAGTGAGGCCACTTGGTTTCCCCAGTGTTAAAACTGTTTTAGAGGTTTGGAATTGTATCTTTCTGATTTCTTTACATTGGGGGATGCCTACATTTTTCATAGATTAAAGAAGGCCGGAAGAAAAAGTGGCTGTACAGTTTCCCCCTTAATATTTGATTTCAGGTTCAATAATGGGTTATTATGAAAGCTTAGCAAGTGTTTAGCTCTGGGTGAGGTTCAGTAGGAGATAAGGGCACAGAAGGTAAGTTTTGCTGTTTAAGCAGGTGAAGATGTATAGCCTGGCAGCCATGCGGTTTGTACCTGATCGCAGCCACTGGACCTGCCAGAAGGAAGAGTTGTACGTTACTTGTGAGGATGCTGTAGTCAGGCGCTACCACCTGACTCTGGGTTTGCCACATGGGCTGGGCCTCTTCGGATCCCACTTTGTGCTCACTTGCCTGCCTGCGGCTGGGCATCCTCCACCCCGTGGATTCTGAAACCACCTCTAGCTGGTGCTGTCGAGCTGCTGACTTTGGAACCACTGTTTCCTCAAACGGCACAAGTGCATTCGGAGTGACCGACTGACTGGAAGTCGCACTGGCAGAGTGACCCCACATATCTAAATCCTAGCATGTGTGTGTCTTTATCTTCTTCCTCGTTCTATATTGCCTTTTTTTTTCAGGACTTCAGCAAAATTAACACCAACTCCTGTCACCCAGTCCTCAGTCCTCTGCTCTTCTCCTCTTTCTGCCCTCTCCCTCCAGTGGGTTCCGAGCCCCACCTGCTCCTTGGTGGTTGTGTACCCTACTGATCCACACGGCCCTCTCCCTCTCCTTTGGCTGGCACTTCAGATTTCCTGCCTTGGTTAGTACAGAAGTTTCTGCCTCAGCTCTCCTCCAGTATTCCATCATCCTTTACCCTGCAATCAGTGGGGTCTTTATAAACAAAAGTCTCATTGCTATTCCTTCTCTTGTCTTCCTTCACACGTCAGTGTCCTAATTACAGGGCAAAGTCAGGGCTCCGGAGCATGTGGCTGCCACCCCTCCCCTGGCATGAGTGCTGTCTGAGGTAGGCCACCTCTGCCCAGCATGGCTATGCTCTTTGGTGCCTCGGCCTTTGTTCCACTGTTCCTTGCACCTGGATCTCCTTCCCAGATGAATTCCTGTTACTTCACGAATCTTCTTATGTCAGAGACCACATGGAGATGCTCAAATCCTGCCACACAGGGTGTAAGGTGCTCTCTAGGAAACCTGTCCTGGAAGTTTAAACGTCTGCCTCTCCTGCACAGCTTTCTGGGTAAGGACACCACAGCCAGGCATAGGCTGGGCATTTGTTAAGTGTCAGAGAGACTGAGATAGAATCTTCTGTTCTGCATAATGAATTCCCACACATGGGAATATCTCAGGCAGTGGCGTAACCAGTGCCCACTGATGTGATGGCCCAGAGCCGAGGTATGAACTGAGTATTTCTGGGTGTGGGGTTGGTTCTGTTTCTTTTCTTTAGACTTTGTGTCCTTGCCTGATGGTTAGGTGACACTGCCCACCTGTCACTTAGCGGCTGGGTGTTGTGTGTGTGTGCACAAGGTATCTGTTAAACAAGGAAAATGTGAAAACACAGCATTTATTAGCGACTTACAGGGAGAGTTAGTGTCTGTTTATTTGTTTTTCTGCTAAGATATCTTCTGACTCCTGTACAGAACTTTTCAGAAGTTAGGACCAGGATATTCTGAAGCCATGCTGGCCAGTTTAGTAGCCACTAGCTTCTTGAAATGAGTATTAAATGTTTATTGGGTTTTGCAGACAGTATGCAGATTGTAAGTTAGCTCACTGACATTATTGATGAACACACTCTTGTTGGCTGGAACCAGGAGTCCCTGCAGGACTGTGTCATCAGGTCTTTATTACCGCGGAGCCTGTCCTGTGTCCCCTGACATGACAGTCATGCATGCTCCACTGGTGATTCAGAGCTACCCAGCAGCAAGACATACAAGTGATGGCGTGTTGTGAATGTTTCAATGCAGAAATGGTAATGTTTTTACTCTGCTATGTTAAATAAGACATATTAATCACAGCGACTTCACATATCCTTACATTTTGTAATGTAGCAGCTAAAAGGTCTGAAGTGAAGTGTGTATCACACTGTGTTTCTGTGGAGCACACAGTATTTTGAGAGTTGCAATTAACAGCTAGCTCTTTTATAAACTTTCCAGGGTTTACTTGCTTAGCAACTGTGTGTAACCCCTCACAGTGCAGCCTTGGCTAGATCGCTTGCTGCAGTTTGGGAGTCTCACACATTTGCAATCGCAGGGCTCCTGGGCTATGACCTCCTTCCTTTTCTCCTCCCATGGCTTCGCTCGTGTAGCATCTCACTCTCGATGGCACGCTGGTGGTTTCTGTCTGTTCAGGGACCCCGAGCCTCTACATTGGCAGCTCAGAGCCTCAAAGGGGAGAGGCTAAGGTGGCTGGCCTGGGGCTTGCATGTCCTGACTGGAGCCCTGGACCATGGGAGGGGCAGAGCCCCCTCTGATGAGGGAGCACCAGCCAGAGTTATGGGGGCTCCCTGGGGTCCACTGTTGTGCTCACCCACAGAGTCATGCACCTTGTCTAAGGTGAGCCTTAAGATACCCCATGAGCTCCTCTAAATGGACACTTCCTTAGGGGGCTTTCATAAGATACTGGAGGAGGACTCTTGTCAGTGTGGCCTCTTCAAAGAAACTAAGGAGGAAGCAAAAGAAAGATTTTCCCACCTGGATTTAAAGATCCATTATGCCCTATGTTATTGCGTATAATTAAAGTAAAACTTTTGCTCTGGCTTATGTCTGGCTGTCCCCCAAAACCTCATGCAGCCATGGGGGGTCGCTTCTCAGAGGTGGCTGTGTCTACAGTGTGTGGTGCTGGGATTAAAGGTGTGTGCTTAGTAACTCAGCCCACTGGTTGGGTGTCGGTATGAGCACAGAGAGAAAAGTAATTAAGACAACTTCCTTGGTTTGTTTATGGCATTGCTGTGGGCATGGGAGCCAAGGTCCAGAGTGCTAGGGAATGAACTGTGCAGGTGTCAAAGATACAGCACCCTGAGACCTTGGAAGAGTAGGGTAGGGTGTGTGTGTGTGTGTGTGTGTGTGTGTGTGTGTGTGTGTGTGCACATGCGGACGTGTATGCGTGGCCTGTGCTCAGAGTACAGGCACTAGAGCCAGCCTTCGGGGTGTGAGTCTCATATCTCCATTTGTGTAACTTAAGAGAATTTTAAAATCTTTTTGGGCTTTATTTCTTTACATTTAAAATGGAGCACAGCAGAGTGAGTGGATTTCTTGTGAAGACCACGAGTACTTTTCCCCCACCACAGACTTTCAAACAATGCCTAGCATGCTCATGTAGTTGCTCCATATTTCTGTGTGTGTTTCTAGTACTTGTACCTCGGTAATCCTCTCCTCCACCCTCATTCTCCTAGGGAAGTCAAGAAAAGAACGGAGGAGGCTGACAGCAAGTCCATCGCCAGCCTGGCTGGCACCAGCTCCAGGAAGTCAGCGCCAATGAAGAGCTGCTGCAACGCCTAAGTGCCCGAGCTCCTGGGCAGTGAAGTCTTCCACAGTACTGCACTGGTGACTGGTTCGGTCCTCGGCAGAGTGGCGCATTCTGCTGACACTGTCCCGTGGGGAGTTTGGAGCAGAAAGTCAAAACTGTGGTCTCAGGTCTCTAGTGTCGGTGTCCATGAGAGCTCTCCAAGTTCCCAGGGGGACAAGTGACTTAAAGATGAAGAAAATAAAAGATAGAGACAGAAAGCTGCTGTCTGTGGAGCCCTCCGGGTGGGAGGAGGAGACTGCTCAACTACTCAGTGCGTTTATTTATACGCTTGTCACACCCCTTTGCTTTCCCAGTCACTTTTTTCCCTGTGTTCTCCTGTGTCCTCAGGATGGAGCACCTGCTCCCCTCTAGCACCCTGTGCCCTTGGGACATTTCCCAGGTGCTCTGTGCCCTCGGGGTACTCCTGCTCAGGGGCTTGAGCTCCGAGCTCCACACGCTGGATGGTGACCAGCTTAGCAGTTCCCAGCACTCTGGAACCTCAGTTCTTCTCTACCGTGATCTCTGTGAGTGCTTTGGGCACCCAGGCCTCACAGAGCCTCAGGAGACACCATGTCAATGTTCCAACATCCCAGAAAAAAAAAGCACACTCCTGTCAGAACTGTAGCCAAAACTCATCAAAAAATGGGAAGCAGGAGATGGCTGCCTTTGGCGTCAAGTGTCCCTGGATTGGTTGGCCCTCATCAGAGAGGATTCTCGTGCTAACCTGACTAGTAGTGAGTTGGTGGTCACCAGCCTCTGTGGGACAGGCAGAGTGGCCTCGGCCGGTCCGTGCCCCAGCACTTCCATCATCAGCTAGTGCCCCATGATGGCTTGGCGAAGCGCTCTGTTACTCCTGCTTCTTGTTTTGTTAAATAACGCAGTATTGATTTTTCTCACTTCTGATATGAGAACAGAATTTAATTGAAGGAAAGATGATAGTGTTAGGCTCCAGTGGCAACAGAAAAGTCTATTTTTAATGTGTTAAAAATCAAGCTTGAAAAAAAGTTATATATAAAAAGGAGTACTTTCTAACCTCAGAATTGTTACAAAGTCCACATTCAATGAGAAATTCTGTTGAAAACACAGCCATGTACTGCCAGATGCTGTGCCCAGAGCAACACTGCTTTCACTGCCGAGGATACAGCTGCCGGGACCAGGAGAGGCTGAGGACAGGGGCTGAGATGACCGTGGGTGGCCTGTGGCTCCGGAGGACCTTGAGAACACTGCAGAGTAACAGCGCTCATGGTTGACTAAAGTCCACTGAGTCGCCCTGACCTCCCCATCAAGATGTGTACCCCAGCATAACCAGCCAGCAGTGGCCACAGCTGGCCAGCAAATGCCAGCGACCTTTTGGTGACCTGAGCCAGTCCAAGATGTTCCCATCCCAGATTGTAGATGACTTCAGGTCATGCAGGCCCAGGCTTCCATAGCTTGCTGAAAAACTTAAATAATAGCTATTATTTACTGGGTTATACTAGTCAAAAACATTTCTTTTTGTTGAAAATTGGAGCAAGTTAGTGTAGCAGTCATTTCGTGTTTGTTGTTTCCATGATCAAAGTTTAAATTCCTCAAGCTTTATTTTTTTAAAATAGAAAATGACAAGATAAAGCGTCGTTTAGCTTTTCAAAGCATGCTTTCTTGCTATCAAAGACATTTAGTATTTTAATTAGAAAGTTGAATCTTCAGTAACGCTACTAGAAAGTCTAGTTTTGTATTTTATGTTTTTGTTTCTGAAAAAAAAGGTTGCATTTCAGGTCAAAAACCACACCTCATTTGTGGGAACTAAATGCAGGGTAGGAGTGGTTCTTCTGGGAGGTATGGTGTGGCCAAACCAAAGCTTCACGTTTGTTATTTGCCTCAGTGATGGGCCTTGAGAGTGAGTGTATTAGTATATGTGTTATTGTGTTACTTTTATTTATTTCTCCCCAGTGTCTCATGGTATTTGTCTCAGAATCTATAAATAATGCAGCAGTACCAGCTTCCTCCTCGCCTCTGCATTGTACTGTCAGCACACCACACTGACCAGGAGATCACCTGCGTGCCTTTGATAGACAAACGCATCATTTTTAACCAAGTGGGGATAAATACTTCAGCAAAGTAATCCAAATTAGAGATTTCTATCTCTGGTTAGCAATCCTGTGTAAAGAAAAGCTACTAAATACTCCTTTAATGTCATGGTGGGAGATCATGGTTATTTATCCACATTTTATGAAGGTGTTATCAAATTTAGAATGTATTTTCAATAAGAAATATTCAGTGTTTTTAACTTAGGCTTAATTTGATGTATTTACTTGATATATTTATATATATTTACATGTTCCTATAGAAGCAACTCACCTTGTTTCTATTTTTCCTCTGAGAACTTTTAAAATACAAGTATGCTATACTTCTTTTTTGCTATCTTGATACCCTGGGTAATATTTTAATTTTATTATGGAGCCTAATGTCAGATAAGGAGGCATTTTTCACTGTTAACTTTAAGCCCTGTGGGTTTTCATAATTTATTTTTCCACTTGCTGCTTTATACGATACATATGACATTTGATTATTTAATACTAGATATTATTTACATAAATCCAAGCCACATAGCCTCCCTGCTGAATGAAAAATTGAGGTTAAAGATGAAGATTTATTTTCATATTTATACACTGATTGGCTTCATAGTGATGATTTTTATGAGATTTTGTTGCATATAAGAAATTTCACATGTATATATTAAGTAGGCCTCTGAGAACTGAATAATTGTTTTATGATTTTGATTTATATGGTTTATACTTTTGTAGTTTGGGCCATATATTGTTTATACTGTTTATTTCTCTTCATGAGTAATTGTATCATGGTGTAATTTTTATAGCAATGCGATTGTCTAAGGAACTACAAATATTCTGTGCCTTGTAAATTCAATAAAACATGCTTCTTTTGGCTTTTTGCTCTTTCTGTCAGGAGAGATTCCTGAGGTAATTTTAATTCCAGGACTTGTGTGTGTGAGACTGTTCCTTTACAACCCCTGTCTGTCTGGCCATGCCAGGCTGGCTGATGGGGGAGAAGAACCGACGTGTGACCCTCAGTTCTTGGCTCCCTGGCGTCATCTTGGCCAGCAGGGTAGCATGGAGGCTGGCGTGGGTGTGACCGCTGGAGTGCTTGAGACATTTCAGAATGTGCCCCGGCTGTCCTTAAGGCTTTGGATGGCTCAGTCCCTTTCTCTGGTTCGCCCCTCTCCACTGCTTACCTGATTCCTCCAGGAAGCTTTCTGAACCCCAAGTAGGTGATGCTGCTTGAGGTCTCATCTTCATGTCCTCATTGTCCACATACTCATTTTAAATCAGACATGTGCTCTGCCCTTAGCCACTTTTTTTAGCCGTTACTTCCTACTGTGCACACAAGGTATAGAACTTTAATAGTACTGAATATTGAGTAATGTGTTAATCAGCTTTCCATTGCTGTAACAAAACACCCTAGATAATAACTTTAGAAAGATGAAAGGTTTAATTTGATCCTTAGCTTTTCAGAGGTTTCAGTCCATACTCAAAAGTAGACTCTTGTTCTCAGCCCTAGAGGAAATAGAACATCACAGTGGCACTGCATGGTGGAGAAAGCTGTGACCTCATGTTGCTGGAAAACAAAAAGAGGAGGTGCCGTGGTCTCAGTAGCTCTTCAAGGCACACATTCACATGATGCAGAGATTTCCAGTCTGATCTGTCTCTTCCTAATAGTGCTGCTCTCTGGGGACCAATTTTTTAATACATGGGCCTTTGGGTGGGGCGGGGTAGGAACAGTTTGAGGAGTTCTGCCCACAGGTTTTGCAGTTTCTTGCTGTGTCACTCCTAGCCTGACTAAAGTCTGCTAAAGTTTTAGGTGAGCAAAACAAAGAAGACCCAGACTGGGGGTGGATGCCAGGCATGGTTGAATGTATTGTTGCTATTTAAAAATGATTCAGTAGAAATAGATTTACTCTGTGTACTTGACACTAATGCTAACAGTCCTCTCCTGGAGGACCGTTATTAAATTCCAGAATAATCTTTGATTTGCACAACCTCTATATTCCAGAGATTTTAAAGCCAGCCAAGAAGAGACACCTGAAGATAGTAACATCAGGTATCTTTTGAACAAGTAGCATCACAATTGGCAAGGCCCTCTCTACATTCAGAGCTTTCGGTCAGGACTTTAGCTTTTCTAAAAAAATACAAGGAGGGGCTGGGGATGTAGCTCAGCAGCATAAGCAGCCTGGCTTGCAAGCAGGCTGAGTTCGATCCCCGGTACCGATAAAAAAAAAAAAAAAAAAAAAAAAAAAATACAAGGGTCCCTGGATAACTGTGGGAAATGCAGACCACATAAAACAGAAAAGTATCAACATGGCAAAATAGAAACTACACAGAGAAAATTAAACTATCATTAATTGTGACTTAATACACAACACTGTTGCAGTCATGGAACAAGAACAAAGTACCATTAACAAGCAACAGTCAAAGGGTCTTGATAGCAGAAATTCTTTCCTTCCTTTTCCTCTTCTACCCTCCTGGCTTACCACAATCTTTTTAAATGGTCCAGAGGGCCATAGAGGAAGAAAAATACGTTTTCAGAAGGATGCAAGAGAGAAAGCAGGATGACAGTCATCAATAATTCAAGGAAAATTTTCCAGAATTCGATGCATTAATTGCTAAACTGAAGGAGTCTACATAGAATCCAGGAGTGTGGAGGGAGATAGAGCACATCATCGTTAGAGAGCCTTATGCCCAGAGAAAAATGCCTCACATTTCCAGAAAAGGGGAAAAATTAGAAACCAGGACTTAGAGTGGTTGTGCACATCCCACCAGAAGTATTAGAAGCAAGAAAAGAGTGAAGAAATAACTAAAATGATTTCCAATGTACATATAATTTAAAACCCAGCCAAAATAGTTGCAAAATGTGAATAATGATGTTTTTAAGACATTCAATGCTTCTAGAAAGCCCATCTCCCATCTACTACATGTTATAAAGGAGCTACTAGAGTTCATCCTCTTAACAGGGGACAAAGTAAATGGCCTGGAATACGGCCTCAGTGCCAGACATGAGATACTGAGGGCAGAGCCTTCCCCGGCTGTGGAGGGCGCCGGGCCAGGTGGGCGGCCCTGTGACCCAGGAGAGCCAGCATCACCACCTGCCATGGTGCCGGCTCTTACCTGAGGCCAGAATGCCTGGAGCAGACTACTCAAGAGTTTTATTTGCGCTTCTGTCCTTCCGTGCACAGATGCAGCTCCTGCTTTCTATCTGTGTCCTGCTTTTTGGATTAATAATCATTTCTCCCTCTAAAATTATTGCGTTTTTATCCCCTTGAAGAGACAGTGGTAGCAAGAGGGTGAAAGAGGGGAGGGGGAAAAGAGAAGGAAAGAAGAGGTTAAAAAAAGAGGAAAAGAGAAAGGAAGGAATTGGATTTTTTAAGCTTTGAGGTATTGCATCGGAGCAAAAGCTCTCAGCTAGATTTTGTGAATTCATGTTCTGATGACTGATTATATGACTTGTATTTCTTTGTGTAACTGACTCACATGAACCGTTCTTTTCAAGTAAGACCAGTGGTTAATTTCCTATCTTTATGCTATTGGGTTGCTTATTTAAAAAAATTGACTCATGGCCAGTGATTCGCATTAAGAACTCCTACGAGCATAGGTTACAATCTTGTTTTCCCTGTATTTAAGAGAAAGAGTTTTACCTCTATACTTTGGGAGTCACTGGCAACTAGGTGACAGCCTCTCCTCGCCCCTCCTCCTGTTTCAGCCTGTGGGCCCCTCACATTGTCATCTCTGTACCCAAAAGAAAGAAACAGAAAAGAAGGGAAGAGGAAGGAAGAGAAGGAGAGCAAGTGAAAGGACACGGAGGGAGGTCGGAAAGGCGGGTGAGGAGGGGGGAGAAACAGAGGTAAACAGACAGACAGAGAGACAGATGTACAGCGCTCATTGAAACAGAGGGAAGTAACTTGCAGCCTATTAGACATTCAGTACGAGTTTGTGTTCTCTAAAATTGAAAAATGAATTTTAGGAAAAACAAAGGTTGAGAGCAGAATATATTTACTGAGAGACAGAAAGCTTCTGTCTGAGAGAGACAGGAGTCCTGAAGGGGTTGCCAAAGACTGTCTTTTCTAGGGACATTTATAGAGCAAAACCATGAGGGTGAGGCGGGTCTAAGGTGGGGAAAACATGGGAATTCACAAGGTGGGCATGAAGTGGGACGGAATTATGGTCAACCAATGAGGTTAATTCTCAGGTAAAATTGATTAAATCGGGAACAAATGTGGAAGCCAGTCACACAGCAAGCAGACAAGCTTAAAGAGCAGTGACTCTTCCTGTAGAGGGTTGGATTAGTGATGCCTGGCTCCCTCAGGGTGATAGAACCTATTTAGAGTATCAATTCCTGATCATTAGCCTTAGGAAGTCTGTGGGCACATTTGGTTCACATTTTGTCTTGAGGTCTGGCCCACAGCAGAGGTGTCTGTCTCTCTGACAGTTGCGAGCTATCTGGTCTTCTGCAGTGGCACCTGTGAGAAGCCAGCCCTGTGTGACTGCCTGTAGTGTTTCTATCACACTCAGTGGTCTGTAACACCATGAGGGGGCTTTTGGAAGGTGATCTGATCATGAGGGCACTTTAACTCCATGATGAGTTTTTACCTAAAGGTGCTGCCCTCAGAGCCCATCCTGGATGGACCTGGATGGGAGAGGAGTCGCTGGAAAGTGACCTGCACCTCCCTTCCTAGCTCTGCCTTTCCTCTCTGCTTCTGGGCTGCCATAACCTGCACAGCGTTGCTGCAAGAAGCTCCTTCTGCCCTGCCCTTTCTGCCTGGAGGAGTTGAGCAGGGGCTGAAAGTTCTAAAGCTGTGAGTCGAAACAAACCTACCTTAGGTTACAGGTGGCAGCACTGACCTGGTGAGAAGTGAGTGACCAAAGTAACTTCTAAGAATAGAAACACAGAAGATTTAGCTCAGCGGCATAAGCGCCTGCCTTGCAAGCAGGCAGTCGTGAGTTCGATCCCTGGTACCAATAAAAACGAAAAAAGACCAAAAAAAAAAAAAAAAAAGAAACACAGAAGAAAAGTTCTTCCATTATGCTGCTGGCTCCACTCAGGAAGGAGCTGGGCCGGGCAGTGATTTTCTCACTGGGGGATTTGAATACAAACAATGCTCATTTTTTAGGAGACAGTGATGATGCCTGTGAACAACCCAGGTCTCTTGCTTTTCTTTTTCTGTAAGACATCTGAATTTTTCCATATTACAAAATACTGAAATCCTGAAGGAGTTAATGACTTTACCATTTTGAATACTGAAGGAGTTAATGACTTTACCATTTTGAAAAATTAGTTAAGAAAACCAAGGCCCTAAAGGGATTAAAATCACTCACCAAAGGTCACGTAGTGAGTGAATGGCCGACTGCTAGGCATGCCCACGTTTTTGTTTTTTCGTTTTGTTTTTTAATATCTCAAATTCAGTGTACTTTCATTTCAAGTTAGCAAAGTCAGGACTCAAGGAAACAGTATGTGGAGTACGGTTGGCTTGGAACTGAACCCTAGCGCTGCCCTTGACTAAGTATATAGCTTTAGAAAATGCATTTGATTAGGTTTATCCAGATTAATAATAGCATCCTTGTTCTGATGAACAAACATGTCTCTAATAATTAGCAGCGTCATCAGGGGGCTCTCAGTTTATCGGCCCCTTTGATTGCATGCTTGGGAACTGGATCTAACCACTGGGCCACTGTGATGCCAAGGAATAGTAATCATTTTTAAATCCCAGTTGTTTTCATATAAAATTTCTCCAAAATTATGCATTATAAGAAAAATGCACAATAAAACCATTGTGGTGCATCAATTTCCTACACCTTCTCACCTTCTGACTCCACATCTCTACTCTTCTCACCTACCACCTGCCTCTTTTGTCCTGATAACCCTTGTAAACATTTCT